TATACATAACTGTGTGTTTATTGTAGAGTACTTATTTCTAGACAATTTAGTGCAAGAATTATGTTCATAGGCCATATAGAACCAGAATATGAAAATATTTAGCGAAAGCTTGCATAAGTAGGGCGCGATAGGTTTTTGGTAGTCGCGAACTTGTTTTGCAACATATACTAAAAGTTTTATTATTTTGGTTCTATATATGTCATATTAATAGATTTTTTTTACCCAATTGGTATATAATTGCTCTACAAATAACACATACTAAAGTATTTTCCAAATTAACAGTATTTATTTTACAAGCCTACCTGTCAGAAGACAAGTTTGGTGTGATAATCCTTGAAGCAGTTGATGAGGCAAAGTCCAGCTTGGCAGTCAGGACACCAGTACACACTATCTTTTCTCACACCATGCTTCCAACACACAACACACCTTTTCTGGGGATATTGCTTCTTTCCGGTTGCTGGAATGTTCTCGATGAAGTGTCTTTCGGTAAGCCTGGCAGGCCTAGGTTCCGTGCCTGGCCTTCCATGTACCGGCCTCTGTACCTCTGCACCATACATGTGGATCAGGTCCTTTATTAGCTGAAGCCTGAAATCCATGTGTTTACCATCTGGGTTTTGAGTTTTCCATATTATATAAGAGTTCAAAACACTGATGTTGAGAAGGCGCTTGAAAAGTTTAACATACCATTTGAGTCCACGTTTTCGCTCCAACAGAAAACTGTTGAGCATTTGGTCCCTGAGATCCACTCCTCCCATCTGTTTGTTATACTCATAGACAAGAACAGGTTTCATTTGTTGAACACCTGATTTGTTGGTCCTAGCTTCAATTTCATGATTGTGTAGTGTTGAAAGAAGTGTAACGACTCGCTTGTCTTTCCACTTTAGAACCATGACGTTGCCACTGTGTAGTGCTGAAATTTCCCCCTTCTCAAGTTTTACATTCTTTATATGTTGTGGGACATTTTTCCTAGACAGTTTTAGTGTCCCACATGTATCCGTTTTCCTGTTTTTTAGGAAAGCTGATAACTCTGGTGAGTTGTACCAATTGTCCATCCATACTACGTGACCTTTGTCTAACAACGGTTCCATCAGTTTGATCACAATAGTTGTAGATTTGTTAGAGTCTGGTGGTACAATAGGACAGGTCACTTGAGAGGTTTTCCCTGTATAAACAAGTAGGGACCAAGTGAAACCCGATGAGGATTCGCATAGCTCAAAGGATTTTATACCAAACTGAGCGGATTTGAGCGGTAAGTATTGTCGAAACGACAAGCGCCCCTTCCAAAGTGTAAGAGATTCGTCAATGGATACATTCTGTGACAAACCATATGAGTCCATGAATCTGTTGTTCAAATGTTCAATCACAGAATAGATTTTGAAAAGTTTCTTGGGGCCTTCATACTGAGAGAGCCTCATTGAAGCGCTGAAATGCAAATATTTACTTATAATTTCAAAGCGCTCCATTGGCATAGTAGCAGGAAAAATAGGGGTCTCTAGCAGGGGATTTTTAGAGTAGTATGACCGGACAGACGGTTTTTGGTCAATACCCATCAGCATTATTATTGAAAGGTATACGTACATCTCATCATTAGTCACAGGCCTCCAATTCCAGTCTCTGGACCGTCTAGGGAAAAGCATTCCGCGTTTAGCCCTTTGTTGTTCGGCATACTTATTAGTGCTGGACACAATTGTATTCATTAGAGTTTCATCAAAAAAATATTTGAAAATATCAATGGGGTTTTCTGCAGGGATTTTCGGACCAGTAAAACTAGAAAATGTCTCTGGATTTGGTACATACCCTTCCATTGTGTCCCAAACCATTGCAGGCACTTCATTTGCCCTAGGCATAGGACAATCTCCTGCACCACCTACTACACTCTCTATAACATCATCGATCCGTCTGTTTTGCACTACAACTGGATTCTCATCTTCACTGTCATCGTCGTCCTGGTCTTGTCCCTCTAGGCCTATCTCTTGTTGTGCGTAGTCCATTTCTTCCTCATCACTTGTCTCTGACAATAATAGTTCATTATCATCCAACCACCTGTCTATTTCACTTGACCCAGCCATTATAATCCACTAACTTGCAGAATAAATACCCTTATGTAGAAATGTTGCAACAGTTCACCTCGATTACTAACCTAACCACACTTGTCCAAAACCAAAACGTACACTGATTTACCGAAACATGACTTCTAGAAACTAAAATACTACAGTTCCCTACAAAAAATATATTCTAAAACGTTCTATTAATAATATTACGATGTACAACGGCAAATAATGCAATAAAACTACTAAATATAACGTACAAAACAAGGCTAAACACGGTCCGTATGCACGACGAATCAAACTAACCAAGGTCAACAAACACTCCAGTTTGTAAACAATATTTCTGTCTCTCTCGCACACAATATCGATCGATAAACAGCTGGAATACATCAGCCAAACAACAGACAACATGCTGCATACTGTTCCAATCCCAAATAGTTCGTAAAATTGCCGTTAGAGTCCAGCACGCAACAGAGTGTCATCATACGTAGTGACTACGGCAAACCACGTCTGGGGGAGTTTTTGGCTTGCGTAGTCACTACGGCAAACCACGTTGAAGGGTTAAAAGAGCGTCCTGTCTGACCAATGTAGAAGTGTTCACAATCAGTGCAGTTAATTTTGTAAATGCCAGATTTGTCATAGATGTCTTGATGTTCTTTATTTGTATTAATGTTATTTGCTATCATATTGAAAACGTTATTTTTTGTTTTAAAGCCAACTTTGTATTCAGAATTTTGAAAAGTTTTTCTTGTAGTCCTGTTAAGAGTTGTATTGAATGGGATACTAATGAATTTCTCTTTCTTCTTTCTTTCTTTGTTTTCTTGATTTTGATTTTTCTTTCTTTTGATGTTTCTAATCATATTGTAGATAATGTTTTGCTTATATCCATTCCTTGATGCTAAGTATTTAATTTTGTTTAATTCTATCTCGTAATTTTTCTTTGTCATTGGAATGTTCAAAAGACGATTTAGCATGGATCTGAGAGCAGATAGTTTGTATTTCCAAGGATGGTTAGAATTTGATGGTATCATTAGGTCTGATTGAGTTGGTTTTCTGTAAATTTTGAAATCGTGTTTGTTTATGTTTTTTGAAATAGTTAGGTCGAGATAGTCTATTTCATTATCGTTAATTTCTTGGGTAAATTTTATTTTCTTGGACAATGTGTTCAAATATTTTAAAAACTCTTTACTTTCCTCTTCATTTCCTTCAAAAAGGCAAATTACATCTGAATATTCAACTGAAGAATATTTCATATACGAAGAAAATCTAAAAAATCCAAATCATATTTTAAATAGCCAAATTCCTTCAAGAAACCCAATCTTTGACCAAATTTTAAAATTAAATAATCAGTAACAAAAAGTTTTTCCAAATCCTGTCTAGTTCTATAAACCATCTGTATATATATAAATCATATTTATTTACAAACAAACAATATAAACAATGGTTAAGTGTTCAATGTATTTTGAAGTTTAAAATGGACTAATGTCCGAAACATGTCACTTCTTTTTATAAAATATAGTATTCAGGGTGCTCAGTTGTACTTATTTACTTAAATATTTAATATATCAGCAGCCCTATTAAGTGAACACCTAAATTAAAATATATATCTATATATAGATATACAAAAATTTGAACGAATGGTGTTTTTGGCCTCTGGGGACATCAAAATGAAAAAGTAAATCGGTCCCGGGCTTAGGTCTTACCATGAGACCTACGGTAATAGCTACTTCCCTATAGGGAAATTCGCTAAAACATACAGAACTAAGTCGCGGAGCACATTGCTTGCCGAGGAAAAAATAGCGGAGTGATACGGACCGGGGACTGCTTTCTCTAGGGCACCTTTTTGTGTTGCCAGCTGAACATAAAAACGTGTTGTATAGTGTTTGAAAGACTAATTATTTATATGCTTTATAGTGACTGTAGGAAAAATATAATGTGTAACACGAGTGCAAAAGGCCTTTGCTACAGTCGAGATCATTCCTTAGGTAAACATTGCTCTTGTGTGCAGCAAAGTGCCACTTTGCTCACTAGTTACACAAATAACTATAGTTTTTTTTTTTAAGCTCTACAATATGGCTGTGAAGGAAATTGGGTATTTTCATGTTTTATGGGTAAACATTTTAAAAGAAATTTGTTTGACAATTTCAAAGCCCCATAATACTTTGTCCCATGATCTTGCTGGTTCAAGAACTCATTTAAGTCTGTTGTAGTACTCTACCCCTTCGAGCAAAAGATGTCATTAAAATAGGACCAAAATTTATCACGTTTAGGGATGTGTATACATGCACAGTGCTAGATTCGCGGCGGAGAGTTTTGTTACCTCTCTTTTGGGAAGATAAAAATATTTGCATAAATCACGCTAAATAGGTTACAGTTCCGGCACCTAATTTTTTACAAATCGAGCACTGTATTTACATACAATTGTATTGCGACATAGGCGACATATATAAACATTTCAACAAATAGTGTTTTTGGCCTCTAGGGACATCAAAATTTCAAAAATTTAAATCGGTCCCAGATCTTGGTCTTGCCGTGCCAACTATGGTAATAGCTACTTCCCTATACAGAAATTCGCTAAAAGGATAATGCACTATATTATAGGCTAATCTTAGTTTTTACTTTTGGTTTTTTTTTTCCTGATAATCCAGCATTTCGTAAACTTTACACCCTACTGGTTCATATTACACAGAGTATGGGAGAGAGTACTAAAAAATAACTCTTCGTACACCAAAAAAACAAAACCTTTGGTGGTGGAAACAAAGTACTTGATTTATGGATTTGACATTTGATACAAAGGGCTAGGTTTTCAAAATTGTAAGGGACTCAATTGCTTGATTTTAGTTTACTGACAGCTAGCAACTTAAATAATTGACAGTGAACTTTATTAAATATAATGGAGATTCTACGTCAAAATTTCACTCGACAATTTTAATTGATTGCAGCTTCACCCACCTTTCGTACAACAGTCAGTCTTGGGTAGAGGTTGGCTAACCCACCCGGAGGTAGGGACGAACACCCTGTAGTGAACTGAAGGAATGCCTTGCGCTCTTCTCCTGTCATGTTGACCAACACGTTGACAAACCTCAGGAAACCAGGGCTGCAACATGTGTTACCAATCAAAATATACTAATAGTTGCCTGCCTTGAAGGTAACTTGAACTTGAAATACATTAGAGGCAAGTAAAACAAAAAACTACTTACAAAAGTCAAGGAAATGTACAATTTGCCAACTTTGGACTATTACAGACTTTCCCGGGAGCTTACCTGTCTTTGGTGTAACCCAGTTTAGGCTCCGTGTAGTTGAGCAGGTCCTCCCTGGTCCATTGAGGGTTCTGGTCTCCACACAGCATCACCCTCACCTCTGAAGGGGTGAAGGCATGCAGCTTACGAAGAGGGAACACCTGCGACATAACCAACAATCAACATTGAACGACAGGAGAGTTTTAGTGCTCACACAGTAGGACACCTGTTACATACCTTATGGTGCTGGTGATAGTCATGACTGAATTCTCAATTTCATCATCAAATTAAAATAAAAAAATATCTAGAGGGATATGCACTCAAATTTTATGTTCATATTTACAACTACATGGTTTGCTAAAGGATGCATAACCTTCCATAGTATCAACATTTCATAGTTTACACATTTGAAAACAATACATCTATCAGTTGGACTAGCAATTAAAAACTGAGTGGTTAGGTTGAATATTGACTGATAAATGCAATTACCTGGTTGAAGCCAGCTCTCAGTGCTTCCATTTGTCTTGTGATTCCTGTCTCTAGGATAAACTGAGTTGTCAGTTCAAGATATTCCTCCAAGTTGTCCAAGCCAACCTAAAACATTTTGTTCTCCATTAAATTAAAACGAGTGCACCGCTTTTAGAGGAGGAAATTCTACAGAACAACAGAAATTATGCTCGCCTGAGAGACCTATTAATTTTTTAAGAGGTTGGCGGCCTCTTTTAACCTTGCATTTGCCTGTCCACATAGGCTATAGACCTGTACATGGAACGTATCCAGCAAAGCAAGGGGTGTGCAGGAACAGTACAAGGATGAACTGTGCTGATAAAAAGTAGTGGTAGGTACCAGAATCCGAACCCACAACATCGCTGCCTTGGGCCCAAAGTCTGTGATGCTACCTTTGTCATTTTAGTTTTCTAGGTGGACGTACAGCCTGAGTTCTTGATTAGACTCTGAACGACTGATTTACAACATTAAACCACATGGCTTAAAGACAGGAGATATGCTAAAGAAAAAGTCAGTAACAAAGGCCTAAAAGACATACAATGGTTTAATGTTATGGGGATACAAAAAAACAGCATTATCTCAACGTTATTTGTGAAATAGTGATTGCCTAATATGTGGGTCCTCAAAAGTCAAACACAAAAACTTTCATTGAAAATTTTACAATTTTACCACAGACACAACTTCTATCCTATCAAAAAGTTATGTATGGCTCATAAATTGTCTAAAAACTGGAAAGTCTCAGCCATTAACAACACAACAAATAAATGGAACAATTAAGATTTTAAATGAAAATTAACATTGTTTTACAAACCTCAATATCACTTCCGTTGTTGACGAGATCTACAGAATTGAAGCCATAGACTTTACTGCCAGGCAGATAATTGAAGGTAATCATTAGATCTTCCAGTCTGCTGCCATCACTGGACACCAGCGACAGGTTCTGGATCTGTAACAGAGGAACAAGTGTTCAGAAAACATAGAAGAAGTCTATAGGACACAAAGAGGAACAGGTCTTAAGAAAACAAACAGAACTAAGATTTAAGAAAACAAAGAGGAACAGGTCTTACAAGTACAACTAAAGGTTATACAGAAGCAGTTTCTGTTCAATATATAGGCCAGTGAAAAAATTATCTAAATCCTAAAAATTAATTAAAAATATGATTTTGTTCACACAAAAAATGTTAAGGTGTTTTAAAATGTTGTGTGTGAACAAAATCATATTTTTAATTAATAAGTTTTCTTTTTGTGCCAATGGTTCCTACAAAAAAAAACCACAAAAAAATTGCAAATGTTTGTGTTTGATTTCCATAAATTGGTATTTCCATGGAATTCATTAGATAATTGTAAACAAAAATTAAGAGAGCGTGATAATTGTATTTTTTAACCAAGTAAAAATGTTAACCGAAACGTAGTTTTATATTCACACATGTCACGGCTATTTAACAAGACTGATTTTCAAAATTCAAAATCTTAAGGTGCAAAATGATTAGCTAATCAACAAACACTCTAAACAACGACCAAATCAGTTCAATTATATATTTTCTTTAAAATAATAATTATTGAAGTAAGATAACAATCCAAACTTCAACAACAAACTATTCACATCCTAGAACGTAGGTTTTAGCCCACAACTGTTTTACACATTACTTCAGGTTAGGACTCGTGCGTTGCAGCATTATCACTTGGATCAAATCCATTGGTGATTGGAGAATCTGAACCTCGGATCTACCACTTGACCAGTACAATCCCATTTTCTTCAGGACTGCATAATATTTCAATATTTACAAGTTTGATCCCAGATTGTTGTATTTGCTTGTATTGTATTGTACCTGACGTGCTCTAGTCTCCGGTGAGAGTGTGTTATCTTGAGCTATCCTCTGTTTGCGAACGACCAACTCCCGTAGTTCCCTCAGGAACCTGCCTCTCTCCGGGTCTACCTCGTACAAGTCCTCCACAGCCAGGATACCACTGAACCTGTCACAAAACCACACATGTTACACACAGGATGGAAATGTAACAGTATTGGCAACAAGAACAGGTTGATTTAGTCTAGACTAGAAGGTTGGCTAGTTCTGTGGGAGATATACAAAGATAGTTGTCATTGATAGTTATAAATGTAAAAGTGAAAACGGAAGTATAGTGAGGCAGACTTGATCCAGACCAAGGAAGACAAAATTGTGATAAGGAGTAACTGAGGACAAAGCTCACATCTATCAATAAACGAGTTTCTCTGTGCGCTACAGACAAGCCTGTTGTTTCTGACTTTTACAGCAATAATACACTTTAGTAAAATATAGTAATCTTTATAGATAAATATTTGTAAAAAAATTACAGAGGAAACCAAAATTAGACAGGTTAATCAACTTGTCTGTAGGTAATTTGTTATTGTTACCACTTAATTTGCAAATGTCATCTGTCTTCAGCAGGTAGCTCTAATAGATTGTGCTTGAAATAATATAATCAAATATACAGGGTGTTTCACGGGAACCCTGAAAAACTTTGGGACTCGTTTTCTAGTTATACTTAAAAATAGGTTTTTTTTAGGTTTTCAGTGTATCTGTTGAACATTTTTGACCTCTAAATAAAAAAATTGACAATATATTTTCATTAAACTTGCATTGACAGATAGAATATTACATTTCAAAGAGATTTCATTAATATTTTGGGCAAACATGTTGGTTATGACTGATAAGTTTTAAACTAAAATAATTTAGAAAAAAATCTTGATTAAATATTGTAAGGTTGTAAATATTTTGAATGGTATATCAGCCTTCCTGAAAGGTCTTACCCTGAAAGGACAAGCACGGAAAGAAAGACACTTTTTCCTATCTAAAATCTCCCTAAAGTCAATGGCAATGAAATATGATTAGTGTGTATAATGTAGGCCTACAGTTTTAAAACTAGAGAAGGAAGAGAAAAATCAAAGAACACCTTTTAAGAGACATTTGAAAAACATGTTTAGCTTTATTAAAAAAAAATCTCACCAAGGTTTAGTTTCTTCTATACAAATCTTGGGAGGGTCAAGTTCAAGTTCCTTTTCACTTTCTTCTGAGATCAGTGAAGACATCATAAGGTCTTCATCAGTAATAATACTCCTACTCCTGGGCAACAGTCCGATTCTGAAACAAGGAAAAACACATGTGTTTAAAGCATTGAAATTTACTAACAATCCAGTCAAAATCCCTTTTTTTTTAGTAAACATTGATAATGACTTGTTCATAACTTCGTAGAGGAAGTACCTTTTTCAATGACAGCTGATACCAAATAAAATAATGCCCACTACTGTTCCTTATATCTATATATTAATTTGAAACTGTTTTAATTATTGAACAATCTAACTGTAGACAGAAATAGGCCTAATTGGGTTGTGGTGAACTTAATTCATAACTTGAACCAAAAGAGATTTTTCGGCACTTGCTTCTATTGTATTTAATTTATTTGAAAGAGGCTAAGGGGAGCAAGCTGATCTAGTGGTTCCGAGAGTCCTGGGTTCAAATCCTGCCAAACACCGATGGATTTTATCCAAGTTATTATGCAGCAACCTCTAGGCCTAACCTGAACTAATGTAAAAAACAATGGCTAAAAACTAGTTTATAAAAAAAGAGGCCAAAGGAAATACAAGCAACAGGTGTCCTGCAGTGTATAGCATTTGCCAATACAAGGATGGACTGAAGTGAAGGGTGCTGACAGGTCAAAGTTCCTCCAACCCCCCAGAAAAATAGTGTGAATATTTTGACCGACACAAAAACCTACCTTTCATTAATGTTGTTGACTACTTCTCCCTGACACAGCAGTTTGAGGAAGGCAGGACTCAATGGCAGATCTACAAGTCTGTTGTCTTGCAGCACTTTGGCCAAGAATACTCCTAGAAACCTGTAATCATATTTCAATTGTACTACTGATAAACATTCCAATTCACCTTGGTCGATCATGCATAAATCAATCAGGTTTCAATAATCCATTCTAAACCAACTACTATTCTTTCAAGTCTCTTCTCGATCCCTTAATTTTGGTGGACAGAAACAAACTGGCATTTAGTCTTTACCCTTGCACACTCAATACAGGTTAGGACAATATAAAGTTATTATTCACAAAAGAGAAAGGCATTTGAGATACAAGTAAAATTTGAAAAGTATAATGCAAATTCCAACAATTCTTTTATTGTCTACTCTGTTCTATTATTTTTCACCAGTCTCAGTGTTGTGCCTCAAACGTTATTTAATTACAAAGTTTTACTGTGACATTTTGTTAAATTCTGGCTAAATAAACAATTTGATTTGAGTTATTTTTGTTTGTTTGTCAAAGTTTTTGCTTTTGTGGTGGATTTCACAACCAACTGATCTGGGTCCTAAATGGAAAAAAAGTCTTTCTTAACATTTTTGAGATCACTCCCTAGTAAAAATCATGTAGATAAACATCCCTAACACAATGTACTGACCAGAAGTACTGCACTGCTCTGTCAGCAGCAGGTGAGTCCTGCGGTAGTGGCGCTGGGAACAGTCCTGCAGGTCGACGGACGTAGTATCCGGGAGGTTTCACCCCCTCGCCCAGGTCCAGCCCAGAGCTACGTTCCGTCACTTCATCATCACACAGCCACATTCCTGTCAAAACAATACCTCATTTATTACTAGTATGCATAAAGCTAAAAAAAACTTATTAAATATTTGCACAGATAATCAATAAGAAAAGTAAATACAGCAAAACCTTCACTAAGCAAAATAAATGGAGTCAAATCCATTTTGGAAAACATATTACTTTTGTTAATTGATGGTAGGAATTTAAAGGCTATGTCCATTCAAGGAGATCTACAATATTAGATTTGGCCAAGCCGGGCCAACTACTTGCGCCTCAGCAGACAATTTCTGTTGCATAGATATTTTAAAGTTTTTAATCAGGGTATTGGATAACCCGAGGGTTTGGTTTAATAACGTGGACTTAAAAAATGGCACTACCCACTACCAGTCGGACTGTATTTTCCAATATGTTTTACAGGTGGCAGGCTAAGGTGTCAAAACCTTGCATTCAAGTACAAATTTTACAAAGTTGTTGAAAGAATTGCAAAACACAAACCTAAGTCTTTCCTCTGTAGTTCAGCAGCAACCAGGGCATAGAACTCCAATGTGGGTCCTAGACCCGTGCCTTCCTCTCCTTGGAACTCCACCTGCACAAGGCATTCATATGAGAGAGGCCCACTTAAATAGTAGTAGTGTTAAAATACACCCACTAATAGTTGAAAGGACAAGTTTATTTTGAGTCCATTTTGAACAAAAAATTTTTTTGAGAGAATGTTAATTATAAATGTAACAGGCCCCCAAGTGGTTTTTGACCTCAAAAAAGTAGGAAAAGTAGGACTTTTTCAGCAAAAAGTAGGACTTTTTACTGAAAAGTAGGACTTAATTTTACATACAAATCGAACTTTTTTGCTGATACAATATATATTAAAAACCAAATAATACTAGCATACACAATAGTTTATCAAATATAATAGTGTATATAAATATACAGGGTGTTTCCAAATTGTCTGGACATATTTTGTGGACTTGTTTCTGGGGCTAAGACAAACATAAAATTCCATATAAGTATGCATGGGTCTAAAATGCCTAAATTTTTGTTGGTCGGTCTGTTTGTGACATTTAAAAATTATTTTATATCTTGGGCATTTTTCAAGATAGAACTTTTAAAATGGTTATAAATGTGTATTTTAGAAGGTGAAAAGAGCTTGCAAAGTTTCGATCCAATATCTCAAGCCGTTTCAATATGGCAGTCATTTAAAATCTTTAATGCCAAATTTCATGAAAACCGTAAATATTTAGAAAATGGTTTCCAGGATCAAAAAGATAGAGAATCCAAATCCAAATCAAATGAGACCTTGTTTGTAAAATCGGATGACAAACAACCATAAATAAGTTTTTTTTCAACATTCGGTTACGCAATTTAATAGCACTACCATACTGTATTCTTATTTGTTATTTTTCAGAGCAGTATGGGTAGTCCTATTAAGTTGCGTAAACAAATTTAGAAAAAAACTAAACGCTAACTCGCCTCCAGGTTGAAGTTCGTTCGCTACGCTCACTCACCTTTTGGTTGCAAATTAGTTGTAATCATAAATTTTAAAAAATAGTGCTGCACCCTGTTGGTAATCCTTGTAACTTAAATGCTATTGCACATCATAGAAAAGAACCAACATGTTTAATTGAAACAGCTGTTAATATTCATTAATTCCATTTAAATATGAGTACTCATAAGGTTAACATGGGAAACTCCAGAGCCACTGGGGCGGAGCCCAAGAGTCCAATCAGAATAAAAATAGCTTAGTTTTCCTATTTAATGCCTAAAGAATCAGTGTACCAAATTTCAGCCTCCTAGGTAAATGGAAAGTGGGAGAATTAGTGATGAGTGAGTGAGTGAGTGAGTGAGTGTGTCAGTGAGGGCTTTGCCTTTTATATATTTAGATATTTCAGAACTAAAATTAATATAAAAGTAAAATGAATTTTTTTGGGTGGAAAACAGAAGCATGAATAGTTATTTAAGTAGGCCTATAAAGTACGGAACTAGATATAATATAAAATTCTAAAAATATGTTCCAAAAGTATTTTGAATTAGTTAGATTAGAGCGATCTTAAAAGTAGTAGGAATGTTTGAATTGTAATGAGTAAAAACTATTTGAGCCAGTGAAACTTGGACATTTAAACTTAAACTTAAGCCTTAATTTATTTTGAATACAGTTATGTCAAAAAATCATGTTTAGGCTAATCAGGGAAACACTGGACCGATAAGTGCTAAAGTAAACTACTTTTGAACTAGTATCCCAGGGCTCCCCAGGAGCATTGATTTCCCCTCAGTTTACTTCATTGGGGAATCTAAAAGACATGTCAGAATAGTAAGCAAGCACTGATAATAATCACAATTTTTATTTTCTATCACAATAGTATTGCCATGTCTTTGAAAATAAAATTGTTTTCACCCAATAACAATGTTGATAAGATTAACCATACAGATACTACCGTTACTGGAACTTATAAATTAAAATTTAAAATCATTTAACAAATTGTTTTATAAAAAAATTATCTCAGTCAGTCATATTTTTTAGGAAAAAACTTCTCATTGGGAAATATTGATAAGTAAACATTAATAAGTGTAATAAAATATCGCAAAATCGACATAATTTTTATAAAAAAGTAGGAAAGTAGGACAAATGTGGAAAAAGTAGGACTTTTCCTACTTTCCTACTAAAAAGTAGGAAAAGTAGGAAAAGTAGGACGACTTGGAGGCCTGATGTAAAAAGAAAAGAATGATGTTGGTACCTAAGATGTCACTAGTAATGATGACCAATGACAAAAAGCTTGTAAAAAAAAAATAATAAACACATTCTTATAAAGGTTAAAAACAATAAAGACAGAAAAACGATGGCACTTTTTTCAGTTTGAAATTTTTCAGCCTGCCATTCTCTAAACTACACCTCTTTTCAAAACAGTTAGTGGTTTTGAGATTTGAGTTTCTATTTTGACTACTAATCACAACTATAAAGTTATTAAGCGTGAACATAGATAAAATCCATTAGTCATTTGAATCCGGCACCTGGGGGACCGAAACCACTACGCCTACCAATAGACCAGCTCGCTCCCCATTCACAAACTAAATTAGATTTATACGACACTGACACCACAGGTTACATATTTAAAGACGACTGAGTGAAGAAAGAGTGTTAAACGAGCTGACAGTTATGTAACTGACTAATATCAGATATAGATGTTCAGCCAGGACAGCATACCTCCAGTATACTCTTCCTGTCCGCATGCACCTTCATGACCTGCACTGCCCAAGGTAACAGCTGGTCGCCCCTGGGTACCTTGACCCTCTCATGCTTGAGTCGCCCGACACGGAACTCGTGAGGGTCGTCCCTCCTGGGGGATAAGCCAGGACCTCTTTGTCTCTCAAGAGTGACATCTCTCTGAGTCTGCAGCCACACGATGGACCTGCGGCCAAGGACATGTGTTAGTGAGAATAGTCATAAAATTTGAAATTAACAGTACAACTACAACTATCTGCATTCCAATCATACAGATCACCAAATAGTAGAAGAAAAAATGAATAAAGTCGGTCAGAAAAATTGTGCTGTGTTCTCCATTAATGATGTAAAAATTAGGGGTCTGCGGGTCCCCGATTTTTTCGGGTCGGGTCGGGCCAGCGGAAGGCCCGAGAGACCGGGTCGGGTCAGAGATTTGTTCGGGCCAAGATCGGGTCGGGCCAAAAAAAAAAAAATTAAATTATTATTTTCAAAGTTATAATAAGTTATTTTCAAAGAAACACTCTTATATATATTATTACAGAGGAATTAAAACGTTAAAATTCGAATTAAATATTAAGTTTGCTCACGATGGTTTAAGAACAAAGACACAACAGAGCAATTGCCGTACTGTCACTAGCCAGAGCCAGTCGTCTACTGACAAAAGCCGTGACGCAACAGTGCAAAGAAAACAAAGTCAAAAGAAAGACTATTTATCCAGAGGTACCAGTTTAATTATTTATTGTTTATTCCATACCTAGTTTAAAATATATTTTAGTATTTTACATAATAAATTATAAACAAAAGAAATATCTGATATAGTGTACAGATCTGTATCTTGTTCTTTTATTTTCCTATTGTCCTTTTTGTCATTCAGTAACAAAACAAAAGAACACTTCTGATCGTCTGGTTCTGCATTGTATGGTTACCATTTCATTTTTAAAAAAGTATCAAGTATCAGCAAGTCTACAAAGAGGTTAGGCCTAAATATTTTATAATTTTTATGAAAGTTTTTATCAGGAAAATTATTTTTTCTTAAGTTAGATTGAGTTTCAAAAAGGATATTTCTAAGATCCAATACAATATTTACAAGACACAGACTACCATGAATTAATTTCTTTGGAAATTATCTGTAAGTTTTATATTTTTTAATAAAGAAATAATATATCTTTTTGTTTCTACTTCCTTGTTTCGTTACTTGCATTTTGTCAGCAATTGGACAACCGGGTGGTGTAATATGGCGGGGGAGGGGAGGGTCTATGACCTTGAGTGTCCCCGAGTCGGGTTGTGCAAGAGGGGAGGGGAGGGGGAGGGTCTTTAACCTTGAGTGTCCCCGGCCCGGACCTGGCTGTGAGTGTGATTCATGGTTTTTTGTTTACATTCTACTACCCTTCCTTCCGAGAAAAAGACCTTACAGTTTCAAAAACATTGACTTACAGTATAAAAACATTGAGTTGTGTTGCTAATTAGGGCACTATAATTTCTGTGCTGTCTGCTTATTTTGCCAAATTAGCATTTAACTCTTTTCTCTTGATTTAATATAATTTTCTATAATTATATTAAGAGTTCCTTTTCGGGTAGGCTACCTAATTAATTGTGATATTGTTTGACTTGAGTTTATGGATTTTTAATTCTTTTCATTTATTAGCTACCAAAATCAGTTGTTTTAGGATTTTAATCTCTTGCAATACCGTAGGTCTATACTACTGTGTATGACATGATATGCAATTTGTACAGCCTTTACTATAACTATACCATAAACAATGTATGTGTGTTATTTACTGTTTTAGAGTGTTATAGTAAATTAGTTTACACAATATCTTTTCTTCAATGAGTTCTCCACTTGTCATGTTGCTTAGCCTATTACTATAAAAATTAATTCCTATGTAAAGCTGTAGGCCTAAATGCCAATAATAGATAATTCTTTATTTATGATGATGTAACTAATAATGCTATTGTAAATGTGAGGTTTTTATACTTAGGAGGTTAGGAGGCAGGGAATGAATGATTCATATTGCATGGTGGAAACATAGAATTTTTATTTTCTTCTTGCTTGCAGTCTTGAAGCCAGTCCACAGGCCCTAAACTTGTGATAAGGTTAATTGATTTGTTTATGATCCTTTTATATTAAGTTCCATTTCAAACTTGTTGTAATATAACTATTTAGATATTTCAACAGTTATGAAAATGGGAAAGAATGGCTTGATAAAAAAAATTATTTTCTTCTTTCTTGCAGTTGATTCAACTCCTAAGCTGTAAATAAGTTATGAACATGTAATAATATACATAAATACAATCTTTTTTCATATTTTATTTTCAAGTAATATTATAAACACAGAGTTAAAAGAAAAAAATCCGGTAATTAATAATTTTTGGCCCGAAACCCGAGGACCAAAATTATTGGCCCGACCCGACCCGACCCGAACCAAAAAAGTCTGACCCGCAAACCCCTAGTAAAAATGAAAATCATCATCTTTTTATTAGAAACTACTTTATGTTTATTTTTAATTAATTTGTTCTTGAAAAATCCAACCATCTATTATATGTATGGAGTCTGGTCCAAACTGGTCCGGATAACTGAAGTTGTCATTACCGGAGATTAGTGATGGACGAGATTAGATTTTTCACTTCGAGACGAGATTTTTTAATTCCGGCAGGACGGGATTTTTTTTTTCGGGACAATATTTAATAAGAATTTATAAAAAAAAATTAATATCTACTTTTTAAGTTCAGAAATATTTACAAGTTTTGAAAACTTTACAAAAAATATTTAAAATTGTTTATTAAAAGCATTAATAAAAACATCAGTATATAAAAAAATATTAATAAGGCCTAACTTATTAACTCTTTGGCATAGGAAACATGGAGATATCAGTTAGTATAAAGTTCAACTTTGAAAAATATCATAAACAACAGTATTACTAGTTAAGTATAAAGTAACAATTTTTAAGTCTTGTTATTTTTAGAATGATTATGGATTGACTTATTTTCACTATGTTTACAGTAGTAAAACATGTCATACACTGCTTACACTAACAAAACATCTTATCATTTGCTGTCTAAAGAAAAAATTAAAAAACAATTGAAGCAATATTTCCATGTAATGAATAAATAATTAAATAGAAAAGCATTCGCAGTTTTTTAAATTTCAAATAATTTTTTTTAAATAAAAAAAAAATTTAAAATAAAAAAATTAGGCCTAAATAAAATTTTAATGAAAATTTAAAAAAATGTTTAATTAAATAACATATTAATGAAAATTAAATTTTTTTTTTTTTATTAAATAACATTTTAATGAAAAAAAAATTAATAAAAAAAGATTTAATGAAAATTAATTTTTTTTTTTAATTAAAAAAATTGTATTAAAAAAATCAAATTCAAAAAAATTACAAAATTTAAATTTAAAATAAAAAAAATTAGGGATGGTCAAGTCTCGAAATTTCGGGAAATTTTAATTCTCGTTACACGAGACGAGATTTTTTTTGGCCGAGATTTTTATTGAGACGAGAATAAAAAAAAAAATAATAAAAATAAAAAATTAAAAACGCCTGCAGAAACGTCCATGCAATACCCGCAATACAGGAGCGTGTTGTAGTTGCGTTTCCTTTGCGAAGGCGTTTTTATTTAATAAATTCTTTTAAAGTAAATATTACTTTAATTATTTTAATAATATTACTTTAATAACATTTGAAAAGTTTTGTTAAGTGTAAGCAGTGTCAGGAATGTTTTATTACTATAAAAAGTCAAAACAAGTAACTATAACTATTTTATAAAAATTAATATTGCTTTTATTTTATGATTTATTTTATTTTAGGATAAGTTGAACTCTATCCTTACTGATATCACTATGTTTCCTAATCGTAGGCATTTTTAATAAGTTAGGGCCTAGGCGTGATTAATAAAAAAATGTTATGCTGATGTTTTTTAATAAAATATTGTAAATATTCTTGCCTATTATCATTATTTTTGTATTTAAACAGTCATCTAACAATGTTACAAAATCAGGTAAAAATTTTGAACGTGCATTTCCCGTTGAGTATGAGAAGGGAAATCCCGTCTCGAAATTTTATGAGAAATAAAAAATCTCGTCTCGTCTCGTCTCGAACTAAAAATCCAATCTCGTCCATCCCTAAAAAAAATGTTAATTAATTTTTTTAAACCTTGTCTCAAAATATCCCATTAGTATTTCAACCCCACCCGAAGCTTCGATATAAAAAAAATCTTGAAGTTTCGGGTCTTGTCCTTCACTAGCGGAGATCACTCACTTTAGGAAAAGGGAACTTTTAATCTAAAATTGTTAACATTTTCAGTTTATTACTTTATTTTTGGATAGTTAAATATGTCAGAGACTTTATAATACAAATAGTCTATAATACATGAGTTGATAAAAAGATACTATCATTATTACCAACTGAGATGGTTGCAGGTTGAGTCTTTGAGAGTAAAACAGTGTAAAATGTTTTGAATAGTTTTATAACTGACCAAGACTAGCTGTTTCTTAGCGAGGATAGTTGATTAAAAGTCTTTTGTTCTGTTGTTTATATTTAGTATAAATGATTTAATTTGTGTAGACATTTAAAAAGAACATAAATTTCTTTCAAGCGCACTATAAAACAAATATAATAATAAACCAGCACATCACTTAAACTAGCACTGAACACCAACCTGGACGCGCCAAATGCAGTGCAGCTGAAGTACAAATGTCGTGTCTCAAACGGGAACAAGAACGGACATGAGTGGTTGAGTTCCTCACACCAAGCAGGCAGTGCTCCAGAGCTCAGTACGAGTGGCTCTTGTATCTGCTGTACCAGCTTGTTGGTGATCTTCTTGCTGGTGAACTCCTCTGGAGTGATAGGGCCCTCGTTGGTGTCTACGTCTAAGAAAATGCAAAAAAAATATAAAGTCAAGAGAAGTGGTTGAAGAACGGGATGTGGTTTAAGTGCTTTAAATTTTGTAAGATATACTGGGAGTTTAACCCATCTCATCTTATACCGGAGTCCGAGCACTAACCACAAGTCTAGCAACACATTCCAAAAGTAAGAACATTTTTTTTTAACACTGCATCTTTTGGCAAAATAAATAGAGTCCATGGTTTCTCATAGTCCCCCAGAGAAAATTAATGCCCTGACTTGTAAAAGCCTACACACAAAGGTCACATAATACATTTTGCTGATATTCCAATCACGTGACTTAAGGATAATGGGAATATAAGCTCATGGACTCTAATGTGGGCACATTTAACCATACAATTTGTATAGATTTGACTGACCGAAGTGATGTTTCCTGTCCCTGATGACGTAGAGGTGTCGCATCAGCTGCAGTACATCCTCCACAGTACAGGACGACGACGGCACAGGTGTGGCAGGTGACATGACACTGGAGGCACAGGCGTGTGTGTGAGACATGAGAGATGCTACAGGCGTAGAGTCGCCTCCCTCCTCCACACTCTCCTTCTGCTCTCGGTAGATGATTCTGTCAACAGTGTCATACACGTTAACTGTCGGGTCATGTTCATTTGAAGGCTTATGCAGCCAGTGTCATCAGAATCCACATGTTTTTGTGTTAACCTATCCAGCCAGTCTAAGCTTAGCCAGTGAGGATGCCTCTTCAAATTATGGACTAACTGCCTGGCAGCAAAGTCTAGCTGGCTATGTGGTTGATGCTACAATTCACTATCGGATTCTGTTGGGTTATCTACAACAACAATAACCTTAAACAAATAAAAATAAACCTAAACAAAAATTAATAAACTGTCTGAAAATATTAAATCACTAGAATCATTTGAAAAATACAAAAACGAAGTTGCCAAATTGCTGCTCAACAGAGTGTATTATAAAGTAAATGATTTTTTAAATTATGTATTTATTTGATTTCTTAGCATATTTTTTAGTTATTATAGTTTTATGTATTTTATGTATATGACCATTTCACCTGTTTCCCAGCTATGCTGGATCTGTGAACGTTTTGTGAAAATAAATTATTGACTTGACAAATAACAATCATAGGTTGGCAATGGCTAGGAGTGTTCCCTTTAAAATCAAGCCATGCTATTTTTAAACAACAGGCTACAATCAAATCCAAACCAGTCAGCTTGGTTGTGAAACAATTCTTGAATTCTATTCATATCAGTGGTGTAGTGGGGCAGGAACCCATGGTAACGGCGATTCCGATCTGTTTCTTTCCAAACATCCTAATATTAAGGAGACCTGAGCTTTTTTTTTCGATGACATGCTTTCCCACACTGGAAAATTTATGACTAAACCACTGATTTAAATTTAACTTAGATGGTAAAATATTTAGCTCCTGACCACAATGTTAAACAAATCACTGTCCTATTTATCCACGAATACACTGGCTAACAATGGTAATCAACATCTGGTTGTTGGAACATATATTGTAACCAATAGAGTACTTACGTATAAGTTGGCTCCCATATCCTTCTCAACTTCTCCTGTCGACTACCCAGGTCGGCCAGTTGTATCAGTTCTTGGACAGCGTGGAATATAGTCCAGTTGGGGTCAGTGAGGGCAATCTCTACGTCTTGCACCTACAAATCAATACTATAGACAAGGCAAAGGTATATCTGTAATTAGATATATAGATAATTCCTGTTTTAGGGATTGATGAAGTTGATGAAACACCCGGTCAAATTAATAAAGGTAGAATTATAAGAATACGACAATTTGCTGACTTTATTCATGTGAAACGCAAAAAAAAAAAAAAAAAAAAGTAGCTCAATTTTCCCGACTAGAGTAAGGATGCAGAAGAGACTGATGTGTTTTTCTGTCACCCTATTACAAGTTTAAGTTGCACGTTTACCACTATAGCTCAATTGATTTTACAAAATTACCTTTGGCGTAGTTTCTTTTTCTCTGAGGCAGGATGCAGTTAACAACTTTATTAAAATGTAATCAAAGAAAATGTAAATAATGCAAATGTGAACCCAAAGTTTTTATTGTCATGTTGGCATATAAAAAACTACTTTATCAAACTAAATATGTGGGTATGCAAGATCATAATACTTTGGCCAATATTAAAATCTCATAAATAACATAAACCTTGAACAAATAAAGAACTTGTGACACTCAAACGAGCTACACCTGATTATAAAATAAATGCTGACCAGACCATAAGAGAAGCTAAATTTCCTTACTTTACGGCACACTTGATCCCCCCTATCTACAATAAGTGCTAATTATTCTGCACTCACCCCTGGAATGTTAGGTCCTCGCAGAGTGAGTTGCAGTCTGGGTTGTGGAGTGGCATCGCTCGCCGCAGTACTTGAGGTGCTTTCTTCTTCACCTCCTGGCGCAGGAATTTCTAGGTCTGTTGTCTGTAAAAACCATGCGATTATTTAACACCAACTTTGATTAGAATTAACCATAATAAGCAATATTGCAAAGGTTTAACTTTTTTTTTCTAAAACTATTAATTTAATTGTAAAACATACTTCATTGGCATCTATAAAGTTTCCAGCATTCAACCCGAAAAATAATTACACTCTACTACTGAAGAAGGAGCTAGTACTCCAAAAATTCTATGTGTTTAGTTGCACATTTTCATCTATTTTTGTCAGTAAGGTAAGACTAGTTGTTAAACCTATCCAACACTAAATTCTGAACAATAATTCCATAGGATTTTATTGCTAGAAAAATCAAGCTTTCTGTAACCATTTAAACTGATATTGCCGTCTAAAGTAATGTGATTAATTATGAATACATTCTGGATATATGAACTTTTATCAATAACTGCTGGGACATCTACAAGAATTGCATGCAAATTTTGAAGTCCGACAGTACTTTAAAGGAATGTTTAAGGTAAATAGCTCATTTCCTTAGTGGGATTATTCTCTGAAGAAGTCCTAAGCCAGAACAAAGTATCAGTGTATTTTTGACACTCAAGTCTTGTACTTTTAATTTACCCTTATCCTCAGTACAAGAAAACTCCAGTAACAACCACTTTGCATTCCATTAAAGTTTTGTTACAAAATATCTCGTTCAACGAGCCACCTTTTCTGAATCTCAATAAAAGACATCATAATGAGTTTGTCTAAACCCACCTGATTGACATTGGTGCGGCCGGGTCGGGGGTCAAACGCAGGTATGAGGGCTGAGAACTGACGCTTCAACACATACTCGTCATCCCACGAGCGTCTCTTACCCCCTCCACCACCACTGGAGCTGCCTCCGGCGTTGCGAGACTCGTACCCTTCCTCCTCCTGACACAACATTACATTGGTGCCATTAACTTAGGCACAAGAGCAGCAATGTGATTTTGCATCACTGAGCTACCACTAACATTACTTGGTACGATTTTTGACTAGTATTGTAATACTCAAAACTAAACGCAAAACACGAAAGAGACAGGTAATCTATCTGAACACTCACATTTAGTAATTGTACACTTTTAATAACTGAACAAACAATTTTCTGATGCCATTCTGAGTTACTTTCCAATTTTCATTGTTGTAAACTCTCTTTAAACTTGACAAAGTCTCACAAAATATTGTGAGTTTTAAGTGTCTTCTTTCTGTGTATTTTATCCAGTACTTCTGAGGTAAGCTAGCTGCTATCCCCATAATGCTATAATTTAAAATCTTCTGTTAAAATAGTATAAACAGAAAGAATGATTTTAAATCAAAATTTAGAATCCTGAAGTAAATAAGTATTATTTTGCAACTGCAATAGAAAAGGAAATATTAATTTCTATTTATATAAGTAAACTAATCTTTTTATGTCAAGTGAACACTTCAGGTGACTAATTTACTACCTATACAAAATGATTACCACATATATGAAAAAAACTAATTTACCAATTTTTTAATGAAGGGAAGAAATAATAATTAACATTAAATGTTCACTTCTCAATCAACAATTCATTTAACTTTACTGAATGATCAAATTTGAAAAAACAGCTACAACTACGTGTAGGATGAAGATAAAAATAAGTACGTACCATGAAGGAGAGCAAGTTTCTGCTAACCATGACCTCTTCATAGTCATCATCGTCATCTTCATTCTCATCATCGTTCTCATCTTCATCGGGAAGTTCATCATCATCTTCCAACTCTGCTAGAAGTGTCGGCGCTCTACAGCTTTCTAGGAAATCCTGTTGAAAGTGACTGTGTAAGTTCAACTATTCTACAACATATAAGGTTGAATGTTCCAGTCTAAAGAAAAACAATTATTAAAACAAATAATTGTTTAGTTTTTTAAAACACAGTTAAGTCTGGTAAGCCAGGAAATTTTATAAAAAGGGGTTTCTCACCAAGGGGACTGGGATCCTCTAAGGGAAATATTTTTGAAAATAAATTGCTCAAAATTGAGGTTTTACTACATTTTCTTACAAAATGTTGTATGTTAGTTTAGTGAAATTCTTCAGTATGTTTCAGTAAACTTCTTAATTTTTTTCGTGTTTCCCATGCTCATAGTAGGCCTACCCAACAAAATGACAGTCTGGATTTTTATTGGATAGTTCATAAGTTACACTGCACAGAACTCTTTGCCAGTATATTAAATATACCCACAGATCTTTTGTATCACTAATCTACAGGGTTATTTATGATCCTGGCGGCAAATCAGATGAGCCGGGTTTAGCTGATGACTGGAGAGCTAGTTGTGGGACTGCTATACTCTATACTTACTTACTGCCGTGGCTCCACAAATCTCGGCTGATTCTTCGCCTCGTGTACCGAAGAATCAAGTGAGATTTGTGGATACAGCTATACTGTATAATTTGTTAAAATTAAAAACTAATTTTTTTTCAGCCTAACAAACCGTGGAAGCAACAATTTTTATTGAAAGAAGGAGACCCAAAGACCCACCTCTAAACTGACTTGCTCGCTGTCGCTGCTGGTAGAAGTGAGACTCATGGTGAGAGCCTGGCTGAGACACTGAGGGCCGCTAGTAGCCGTGGTGGAAATACCACAACTGGTACCTGTAGGTCCACTGGACGTCAAACTGGGGTAACTCTGGGCAGTGCTGAGCAGTCCACCTACAACCACAAAAAACGATAGTTGCTAGGTCAGATCCAGGGGAATGAAAAAGGGTGGCCAAAGCAAAGAAACTGTTAACAGTTAAAATATGTTTCTAAAACTCAAGGGTCGTTAGGTTATTAGTGTCTAAAAATCTAGTTGCATTAAGAATAAAAGTATCAAAGCAATCAGAATCACTTAAAATTTTGTGGATTTAATAGAACCTGACCCTCTTGCTGCAAAGTCTGGGATAATCACTAGGCCAGCAACACACGTAAAGTTGTTATGGAGCATAACCTCCATCTTCCTCAAAAAATGACAAGACACCCAAGTAAAAAATATTTGAAAATAAAATTGTTATGCAGATATATAAAACTGAAAGCATGACCTATATTTTGATACTTTCAGAACCATCTTGAGGGGCAATCAATAAGGAACAATGTTTTTCTTTCTTCCCCTAGGATGCTAATTCTAGCTCCGAACTATTTTACACATTACTTCAGGCTAGTCCTAAAGGGTAGGGGGATTATCACAGAGATAAAATCCAATGGTGATTGGCGAGATTTGACCGAGGACCTCGGGCACCGAAGCCCCGCGCAGTAGTGTCATAGACAGATAAAGATAAATGATGTTGGATTGAGACCTTTCTTTTATTTGCTGCAATGATCATGGTGACAAGTGTTAAACAGTTTAAAGAAGTCAAGAAAAATCTGGCTACAAATTAATTGTTGGTACATTATGCAATTTAATTTAAATTATTGAGGATCACTAGGAGTAATTTTGGATTTGAATAAAATTATGGTCAATCCAACTTCGTGGCTGTTAAAAATTGGTTGAAGAAAATATTCGCTGAAGTTGGTTTGTAAAGTTCTTCACGGTTAAGATATTAGGATATTAGAATCACGGTTAAGATTGTATTTCTCTGTTCTATTTATGAATGAACAAATATTGTGTTATTATATGATAATATATTTAAAAAGATTAAAATTTTCAGACTAAAACCAAAGAAAGAATCTTGGTTACTCAATGCTTAGTCAAATGGATCTTGGGAATATGAAAAACACTGTGAGTTATCATGCTAGCCCAACAAACAAAAAATTGTGATACAAGTTTCTTGCTAATCATATAAAAAAATACTAAGCAAACAATCTTGCAAAACAAAGCATAAATGTTAGTCACCAAATCCAGACTTGGTATGATGAGATAAATTAGCGTTGCAAGTACAAAACCCAAATAGCTATGATGGTTAGGACTAAAACATTACCTCGCTCGACCAAGTACAAATGAATACGAGAGATAGGCAATTTGCTTAAATAAGCAAGGGAAAGATTCATGATAGAATTATGAAATGATAAAAATATATCTAATGGCTTAGTTGGAGCTTACTGAACAGTTCACGTTTCAAGCAATATCTTTTTATTTTATTACTAACTCTTTGGTATTTAATATAAACAAAAGGTATACTAATGAAATCAATGTATTTTTACCTATATCATAAACATGATTTATCGGCCGAGTCTTACCCAGATAGACATTTTATTGAAACCAATATGAACTCTATGAAAAAGTGTGACTTGATGTACTTAGGCATTAAAACATAAAGGGTTCATAGTATACTTTTAATTTAATAGTAAAATGATATTTAAAAAAAAATATTATAACCAAATTCTGAATAAACGTTAAAACGCACTAAGATCATCATTATAAAATCTTTACAACTTTTAGTTAAGAGAACACTTATCCAATTGATTTATTTGAACAAATCATCAAATCAATTTATTTGAGAAATATAGGCGTTACCTTTGACTATTTATGTAACTAGACATTCCAACTCCATTTGTTATGTTGTTGCAAATTTTTAAATCAATATCGTCATAGTTAATGTAAGCCACCGATGGATTGTGCTTATCTAAATTACGAATTTCAGTCGAATACACACACTTTTTTTACCAAGTCAAACTAATGGAATGACGTGTTGTGCGCTATAGCAAATGTTATGGCCTATCAACTTGGTTGCAACCAAAAAAAGGCAGAAAATGGAATTTTAGACACCAGCGCATTCTGTGACTGGCTCACATAACTGTGTTCTTTTTTAATAAAAATTCGCAACAGCTGATCCTTATAGATGGGATGTCTTCTTCAGTACCCATTAGTCAATGATATTACATAAAAAATATGTATACTAAAATTGGGGGCCCCTGCAAAATTAGTGCTGTAAATATGCCAAATTTATAGTTATATTTATTCTTGACTTGACACAATTAATTCATGTTTACAAATGTAGGGGAAACTGGGGTACAGTGGGCCATAGTTAATATAATATACTGAACTACTTCCAATAAACCAGGTAAATTTTCTTTTGAAAGGTCTCTAGGTTGGTCACACTGAGGAGAAAAATCTAGAGTCTACAACTATTTGGAGGGAAGTTAGAAGCACATGTTTGTTTTTGGTAGTCTGATTGCTGAAATAGGCATCATTTTTAAAGATTTTTTTTATATCAAAGGACTTCTAATTTTAAAAGATTTTCAATTCTAAAGGGTTGTTAATGTTTGTTAAATGATGTTCATAGGTTTTCAACTTTGTATTTTGAATAATAATGTTTTTTCTCAACATTAAGGCATAATATTTATTCATGGCCCACCCTACCCCATTGTGGGGTAGAGTGGGCCATTATGTAAATAGTAAAAAAAATGACTACAAATTTTATCTTTCATAAAAAAATCAGAAAAAAATTGTTAAGATCAATGAAATATGGTACTTTACTATAAAAATAGTTTTGTATTTTGAATAATAATGTTTTTTCTCAACATTAAGGCATAATATTTATTCATGGCCCACCCTACCCCATTGTGGGGTAGAGTGGGCCATTATGTAAATAGTTAAAAAAAATGACTACAAATTTTATTTTTCATAAAAAAATCAGAAAAAAATTGTTAAGATCAATGAAATATGGTACTTTACTATAAAAATATTAGTTTTACATTTAGTAAAGTCATTAATAAATTATAATAGCAAATATATAAAACTGGCCCAAGGTGCCCCGGTTTCCCCTACTGTTTGAATAAAGGATCTTTTGATTTGATTTTTTTTTTTCAAAGCAAAGCTTAATTGCAGAGACAGAATCGTAACACTCGAGTATATCGCTTGATTTGTGCAAAATATTTGTTGTTTCAAAGGCTTAAATTTTAGCTTAAGAATAACGATTGGATGAAATTATGATAAATTCTAGTATGTTACCAATTAGGTAATTTATGTTCCCTTAACATTTTTAAAGTAGAGTAGGCTTTCGCTCATCTGGATCGGCCTTGTCCCGACTCCCGCTGGTCCGGTTTGGCAATCGTGGTTTTTTTTTAGCGGTACAGTACAAGAAGAAGTCCGATTATCCGAGATAAATGGGACAGAGACTACCTCGGATAATCAAAAACTCGGATAACACGGCGTTTAAAATTATATCTTATTATTAGAGAAAAATTCTATTAAAACTTGAGAACACGGTTTATCAATACTGTGGACCTGGAACAAAATTGAAAAAACGGCTATATACAGTACTGTATTTGTCTCGGTTAACCCGGCGGCTCGAATAATCAGACCTCTGATAATCACATTTTGCGTTTTAAGGAGTTCTTTGCAAAATCTGTAGCAATAATCATGCAGTACAGTAGCCAACTGTATTTTATTACAGTTAGTTTTAACCCCGTTTGTATTAGCGTGTGTTTTGACGAAACCGCTCGTCGTAACAGCAAAATTTACGACTCTCGATTCGGACTGGATGTCCGCCACATTAGTCAAGATGCATAAAAGTCGACCGTATAATTAAGTGAAAAATTTAAATTTACACTATCCACAAAGCAATAAATCAATTTTAACAATCTGAATTATCTTCTACACCACCGACGACTCTTCACCTTTGTCTGCAACATCAAAACCAATTCAAGAAAAAAAACAACCAATTTGTGATCAGAGCCGTTAACCTCTACTGACCTGGGAAATTTGACGACAGCGCCAGCCGTACCAGGCTGGTGACACTACTAGGCGCGCGGGGGAACACAGCGCTAGATGGTGATGATGTTGCGGGTGTGTGTGTCGAGGGAGAAGGGTGGTTACCCTCCACTCTGCCTATCTGTGTGTTGCTTGTCCGTCGCCGAGCCATCGCCGCGAACGTCTCCAACAACCCAGCTGGATTAGACTGTTCCATGGAGGAGGAGTTGGTAGCGGAAGCTAAGTTGGGAACGCTCACACTCATAGACGACGGACCCCGTCCGTTATCTTTCTGCTCTTTGTTTTCTCTTTCGGATTTCTTGGCTATGAATCACAGAACGGGGTGAATCCAATGCCTCCAGTTCATGAGAAATTTCAAGGGGAAACACTTTAACCTTTATAATAAGTATCGTTTGCAGAAGAGACTTGGCAATGAACAGCCAATGCTGAAAGTATTTAGAGGGAGCTAGTTCTTTGTTGATTTTTGACAATAGGATAATTTTTGCGATTTAATAAGTAATTAATCTCTAGTTTTTTATAGTACAAATGTCCCTAAAAAAAAAAAAACTAAACAACAAACATAAAACCCTAATAAAAAGGAAAAATAGATAATGCTTGTGGGAAGTGTTTTAATTACTAAAAGACATACCTACTTTAAAAAAATCAATACAATGATCTTACAACAGAGTTGAAATCATTCATTTTAACTACCAGAATTACTTAGACAAACATATAATTCGCTTAGTCTACAGATTTGCTGCGGCGGGTATTTTAGTTCTAAAAAAAACAAAACCTAGAGTAAGTTGAGACGGATGAAAAAATGAGTATGCTTTTTAGATCAAAACAATGATATATGAACTTAATGCATGATGAAGATCAGTTTAGTTAACATATTTATTAGTTTTAACCACAAATCCTCAAACATGCATTAGATCCAAACCAAAATTAGTGGTGTAAAATGTTTAATTCTTGCTCTAATGTGAGGATGCCATTTACATTATATGATGAGGATAAAACTTATGAACTGACACTACAATTCAATGTTTTGTTTTAAAACAAATAGGGATAAAAACTGTATCTGAGCGTAGCTGAAAATGATATCCAATACACTGAATAACATAAAATGGTTAAAAACCTTTAGTGTGATTGAAAACTGACAAAGGATCCAAAGAAGGTATATAACCATACAGGTTGATGACAGTAAAAATATTTTTTTTTATTTACTTTGGTGAGAGTAAAAGTAAGCCAGCATATTTCCCTCGCATGAATTTAACGTAATCTACATGACCATAATCTGTGATTGTGGTGACATCACTATTGTCTCTGTGATTTAGTGAACTAATGACATGCCTCAATATTAAAAGAACACATCTAAATCAAATCCCGCAATCACCCAAACTCTCAAGACACGTCTTGCGGTAATCACACATGATTTCCATAGGGTACTGAAAAGATCCTGGACAAGACCTGAAACTTCGAGATTTTTTTATCTCGAAGTTTCGGGTGGGATTGAAATACTAACGGGATATTTTCAAGACAAGATTTAAAAAAAAAAATAAATAAAAAACTAATTTTTTTCAATTAAAATTTTTTTTATAAATTTAAAATTAAACAAAAAACTTTGAACTGCAAACTTTTAATTTAAAATAATTTAAATTTTTAGAAATTTAAAATTTTTAAAAATTAAAAATTGTAAATTAAAAAATAAAATTTTTAAAATTTTTAATTAAAAAAAGTTACAAATTAAAAAATTTAATATTAAAAAAAGTTTAATTTTTTTTTTATAAAAAAGAATTTAAATTAAAAAAATTAAAAATAAAACTGCAAAGTTCTTTGCAAAACGTAAATTACAAAAATTTAATTTAAAATTTAAAAAAATTTAAAACTGAAATTTAAAATTAAAAAAAGTTAACTAAAGCAGTGTGAGACATGTTTTACTACTGTAAACGTAGCCAAAATAAGTCACTCCAAATCATTATAAAAATAACACAAGACTTAAAAATTTTTACTTGATACTTAACTAGTAATACTGTTGTTTTTGATATTTTTCAAAGTTGAACTATATACTAACTGATATCTCCATGTTTCCTATGCCGAAGAGTTATTTTAAGTTGGGCCTTATTAATATTTTATTATATACTGATGTTTTTATTAATGTTTTTTAATAAAAGATTTTAAATTTGTCTATTTTTTGCCAAGTATTTTAAACTTGCAAATATTTCTGAACTTAAAAAATAGATAAAATTTTTTTATATAACTTTTCATTAAATCTCGTCCCGAAAAAAAATCCCGTCCCGCAGGAATTAAAAAAATCTTTTCTCGTCTCGTCTCAAAGTGAAAAATCTAGTCTCGTCCATCACTAGGCCTTCCTGGATGTATAAAATTATTACACAAAAAAACTAAATATTTCCCAAAAGTTTTAATTTTGCTTTAACAGCCATTAGGTTGGCAAAATAACGTCCCAAATTGGTAAGAGAAACGATAATTTCAATAATGTAAGTCTTTAGACCACGTTTATGCAAATAAAAAAGTTAAATACCTGTTGTAGTGTCGAGTGATCCAGTTTTGTCTAGTGACCAAGTAGTTGGAAAAGTCCCTTCATCATCCCCCTTAACTTCTGCCGGCCACACCAAATGTAAACCTACCAAAATTTTAATTTGGCCAAATCTTATGTTTAAAAAATTTGGTTTTTCTGGTCTCAAATTGAAGGTATGCACGCACAGATTTCACATCAAGCATCGGCATATATTTTTCTACAGTCCCGCTCTGCTTATACGTAAACAAAATTTGATACCCATGTATTTCTTATGGGAGTTAAATTTGGTTTTTCTTTTCCAAGGTTGTTTTCCAGTATTATTCATGTTTTAGGCTCAAAATAATCAGTAAATTGTAGGCTTTAATTTGAGCTATTGATGGTTTGAATCAGTTAAGTTCAAAATACTGTATTACTCAATAAAAAAATCATAAATTTGATTATTTATTGGAAATGATATTTATTTCAACGCTGCGGAGCATCATGGGTCCTCTAGTTTTTGTGTTCGTGTAAGTGTTTACGACGACTCTTTATAACTTAAGGGATGAAGAGGATTTTCCCAAATACTCGGTATTGAAAACTAACCTCTAGGTTCAGTACCTTGGCCCTTCAACAGTATAACAGGTATTTAACCTTGATCCTCGCTTCACTTACCTGACGTGGTAGAGTTGTTGGCCAGTAGACAGTTGGCCACCAGTTCACCGCTGAGGTAGCTGTTGGTGTTGTTCCTCAGCAGATCAGCACCTTCTCTCATCTTATCCACCACCTCGACAGCGTCAGACAAAGTCAACATTGACTGCTCCTCCGCACTCAGCATGGAGTTGGACGATCCCACCAGCTGTGATATAACAATAAGGTAAAAGTAATCAACTGGTTTTTGATTGATCAACGTTGACTAAGGGCTTGTTTCTGAACTGACCGAGTGCTTGTTTGATAGATGTTTGTTAATTTAGACCTTGCTTTAGTAAATGCATATTCACACATGTAGACCTTTCATCCGTAGCGAAATCTGAAACTTGTGTGGTTCATGTTGGTAACGTTTCAGTAAGTACATAAAATATTTTTCTCCGGGTTAATTTGATGACTTGCTTTACTGTTAGGTTATAAATCCAGAGGACGAGATATTGTCTATAATGAAATTGTTTTAATTGGTTAAACTAGTTTTGAAATAACGCAAAAAATATACACAAAAAAATTCCCCTACAAGAAAAAGACGGAACTAACTAAAATTGTCTTCAGCTGGAAGGGTGACTAATCTAAACCGATTAAGTTTAATCTATGATATATGTTTGTTGGCCAATAGTTTGCTTTAGCGTTTGTTGATTGAATGTTTTTTACCTTATAGTTGATTAATGATTGTGTTTAAGTGTTAGTTAAAATAAATTTATTAAACACTTGTTGAATGCTTATTGAATGTTTTTTTCTCGGTAAATTGTTTTGTTTGTGTCTGGTTTTAAGTCTGATCGTTGATAAAGGGCTTGAGTCAGTAAAAGTTGGTGAACTAATTGTTTTTTAAGCGGTTCTTGTTAAAAGTAGTTGATTAGGTTCTTTTCAAAGGTGATTCTTTTCAAATCACCATGTCAAATCACCAAGTCTGATAGTTGTTCTAATAAGAACAAGTTATGCAAGTTCAAATCAAGTTTCTGCAAGAAAGTACCTTGTTAGCTCTGAAGAGAGATTTCCCAGATGACAATGGGTTCTTGCTGCTTTCTGACGCACCAGATTTGTTCTCTTCACTTTTATGCAGAGGCTGGTTATTTGCTTGAGTATTACCTGCAACAGAATAAAATTGCTTACATATTTGAAAAATTGTTAAATTTGCCCTTTAGAATTATTAATTGTTTTATAACTACTGATATTTTAATTAGGGATGGACGGGATTGAATTTTTAGTTCGGGACGGGACGGGACGGGATTTTTATTTCCTTCCCGATTTTCGGGACGGGACGGGACGGGATTTTTTTCTGTACATAATAAGAAAGTACTGTATTGCAGTTACCAAAAAAAGACATACGAAATCAATTTTTACCATTTGTGGCACTGATCTATAAAAACCAAAAAATGGGTAACAATTTACAGGTACCTATAGTAACCTGTGACTCGCGGGTCACGGGGTGATCGTCTGTATGACTCACGGTCACGGCGAGATCGTCGTCATGACTCGCGATCACGGCGCGATCGTCGGTATGACTCACGGTCACAGCGCGATCGTCATCATGACTCGCGGTCACGGCGCGATCGTCATCATGACTCGCGGTCACGGCGCGATCGTCGGTATGACTCGCGGTCACAGCGCGATCGTCATCATGACTCGCGGTCATGGCGCGATCGTCGGTATGACTCGCGGTCACGGCGCGATCGTCGGTATGACTCCGCGGTCACGGGGTTATCGTCGGTATGACTCGCGGTCACGGCGAGATCGTCGATATGACTCGCGATCACGGCTCGATCGTCGGTATGACTCGCGGTCACAGCGCGATCGCCGTCATGACTTGCGGTCACGGCGCGATCGTCGGTATGACTTGCGGTCACGGCGCGATCGTCGGTATGACTCGCGATCACGGCTCGATCGTCAGCTTGACTCCGCGGTCACGGCGCGATCGTCGTCATGACTCGCGGTCACGGCGCGATCGTCGTCATGACTCGCGGTCACGGCGCGATCGTCGTCATGACTCGCGGTCACGGCGCGATCGTCGTCATGACTCGCGGTCACGGCGCGATCGTCGTCATGACTCCCGGTCACGGCGCGATCGTCGGTAGTACTCCGCGGTCACGGCGCGATCGTCGGTATGACTTCGTCTCCTGCGTTCGCGGACCTATCGCTCGCAATAACGGCGTTATCGGCACTCGCGAAGCGGAAAAATCACCGATCGGACCAAATCCCGTCCCGAAAAATTCCCGAGTCAAATGTAATCCCGTCCCGATAATCGGGAATATTTTTTTCCCGAAAAATTCCCGAAATTTCGGGACCCGTCCATCCCTGATTTTAATTAATATACTTTGTTTAAAATAAGCTTCACAGATTTCAGCAAAGTATAACCAGTTTACTTATTATAATGACAAAAACATAGAAATCTATGACATCCAAAATGTTCACTTCACGCTATAACAAATTGTAAAGACATTCTGATTTCTTAACTGGTTTTAACTGACTTAGCAAGACCAACATCATTTAGACTTTACAGCATTACAAATTCAGGTACAATCAATGAATCCAATGCGAGATAACACAATATAGACTGAACTGTCTGCATATTGAAAACTGTGAATGAAAACATTAAAACATAGTTTACCAGTGTTGAGTCTCTGAGTCTCCTCCAGAGCTAGAGTCTCTACTATGGTGGCCAAGTCACTGGCCGTGGTGTGTGAGTCTCTCAATGTGTGGACCACGACGGACAGTTCATTGGCCGGTGTGGAGCAGCATTGACTCTCATTGGTGACAGCTACAATGGCCTCGGCACGCGCAACTGATAACACACTCTCCGCCAGCGCCTGGGCGGCTTGCTGTACAAGTCACAACAAACTGGTTACAACTCAGGTACACTAAAGGTTTGTGTGATGTTCAGGAGGCCAACTTGTATGAGAGGTATTTATTGAGATCAAATACAAAATTACTTTTGAATAATAAATTTAAAAAAATTTTTTAGTTTAATTCTTAAAATATTGAAATATTAATCATTATTAATTTTAGGTTTTCAACAGAGGCAACGTTTTCAGAGATATCCTAATTGAAACTTGTTAAATGAAACTTATAAGTTGAAACATACAAAAATAGTTTCCAGTAGACATGTTTTGTTCAAATGACTCAATCTTTGGATCAGGCTCGAATGGCTTGAAAATTAAGCAGCTCACACACCTCTAGTGTTCACAATTACAAGTACCTTTGCGGCCAGGTTGTCTGCCGAGGCCGCTTGCTCCGTGCTGGCCACAGAGTTCTTGGACTGATTCTCCGTAGCGTCTGGAAGACTGGGAGTTGAGCTGGACTTGCGACTCGTCAACACACTGCTCTTACTCTCATTGCTCGAGTTGAAGTTCTTACACCACTTACCTAACAAATCATACATCATTGTCACATATACAGCCATAAGGTGTCAAAAAAGGTAATTATATACCTACATGGAACTGAGTATTTCTTTTTGTGTGACTACTATATATTTAAGCCCTCAAATGAACGTAAACATTTTAGGGCACCCCGTATTTTTAGTTGAGGTGAAAACTACTAAAATATATAATTCAGTTTTCCAGCCAATCTGTTGGGCTACAGTACTAATTTTGCTCCTAGGTAATCAACAAGCATTTATTGCTTAAGACATAAAGACCATTAAAAACCTGACAAAATTTAACAAAATTACAATATACTGTAGCTAATTAAGCATGAGGCTAAATTATTGGATACACAAAGTAAGATTTTAATATATGAACTGTGGACATCAGTATGGACCAAACAATATTTTGTGTATCTGGAAGCCAAACAATTCTTGGTTTCACGAACGAATATCGTAACCAAAATTCACTGCAAAATCATTTACAACCAACAATAAACATCATAGTTAATCCTTAAATTTTTATAGAAATGCTTATAACTTAATAATAATACAACTTTAAGAAACAGTACGGTTTACCTGTTATGTTTCAATTGGAATGTTATTGTACAAACACTTTAGATTAGCATACTACTACTACTTTTTACTTGTGAGTAGTGAAAATATGTTCTTTAATGACAGAGTGTTAAAATGTTGTGTTTTAAAATAAGTATTATTTCATGTGGGATGTTTGTAAGAGATAGAGTTGAGCTATCTTACCTGAGAAAATTTGCCTCCCATTACAGTACAGACTTCATAAATCCTCCTTATCTCAATTTAAGATAACACCCCAAACCCTCCTTCTCCGGTAGATAAAAAAAATCATATTTAGGGTGTTAATACAAAAAACTAATTTCATTGTTTGTGTGTATATATATCTTTAATAGTATCAGTGACAAGGTTTTTTCTTCAACCTACTTCTCTTGTGAAGACGTACATTAGAGTGAAATATCAGCTTTGTGTTTTGTGACCTTAATTATGTATCTACTGCAGATGGACTCTATACTTTCTCAGGCAAGATAGCTGAACTCAATCACCTTTAAAAAAAATTCTATTCAGTCACTTGGCTTTCCTTTAAAACATTACTTCATAAGAGGTTTTCTGACGATATTTACTGACTTTACGACTGTAGATCGTAATGTTTAAGACGATGTGGGGGTGTTTTTACCTGTCGGTGTTGCAGGCTTGGCGCTAGTGGCACTGGGATCGGCGTCTGACGCTAATTTCAAATCGTATTTTCCCTCGGCACCCATTCGGTATGAATTTGAACCCCCGTGATCCCAAGTAACGTCAATCCAACCTGCCCAAAGTGAGTTGCGTCATTAACGACTCTCGGTTACGGATTTCGCACCAAAAACCAAGCAGGGAGTTACTAGCTACGTTAGAGCCATGCACAAATGAAATGAAACTAAAAATTATTTTAACAAAACTGGTGAATAACAGTGCTAAAACTAGCAAGACTGTTCAAGGGAAATTTACAAGTAAAAGTAGTTGCATCGAAATTCAAGTGAAGACCATTTTACATAGTGATACCCAAATAAAAAGTTGGAATATTTAAAAGATAAACTGACTTAGTTTTATGTAGGCTATGGGAAATAAATTGAATAACCGAAAAAAGGGGTTAGAGACGAGGACTCAATTATAGGTAGTCAAAATTTTTAGGACACTTGCAATATATATAGCAGTTCCCAAACTTTGTTTGAATTTATAGTTTTTTCAACTAATTATCCTTAATAAAAACTTCAAAGTGTCAAACCATGGTAAATAGGTTTTGAAAGATTTTCACAGTTTTATTTTACCAAACCCAAAATAAAAACCGTACTGAATATTGTTTTGCACTGCTGACATTCGCCTATTAGGTCATAATAACCTATTAGGTTATTTGATGATGATTGGAGAGTCCAATCGAAATCGATCACCACTTAGCTGCCCTCTTTTATAATTTTTACTGTCTTGTGAGTTAACACTATACGTGTAAATATGTTTCAAGAGTGTTAATAGAAGTAATTTTATTTACTTTCTGCAAATTTAATAACACGGACAATGATGATCAAGAAGTAAACTAATGATTTTTCAAGCCTTACAGTGTTCCGATACGCTTTACATGATTTTTTTACCTCATTATATTATGTATTTTGACTTTGAGGAAGGGTGCACACAGACTGCAAGCAGGGTTAAACGGGGTCCAACTCATGCTAGGGTGCGAGGGAGAGCCGGAACTAACAAATTACACTATCTCTACACACAAAACACTTTTAGTAGGGCCGCATGGTGATAGTTAGTCAAAAGAAAAGAATCAAAATGAATGGGTCGATAAAGTATAAATCAAAGCGGAAACCAAGTGCCACTGCGACAAACCCAAATGCAATGTCATTGTGGAAGCAAACACCTGTTAACTACGTGCTAAAATAAAAATAAATACACTTTATACAACACAACAACTATTGTGGTTCATGCACACAGTAAGACATATTTACACAAGTTCAACATTGATTGTTACAGTATCTGTTTGTCTTGGTTACTGTCAAGAAGAAAACTTCATTTTGAAACAATCACTATTTAATTTCTATTAACAGTTTCTGTTAAAAGTAATAGAGTATTGCTCGCAGCTTAAAATTTAAAAATTCTTAAACTAATGTAATTAGGTTTATAAAAAAAACACATTTTACTGTAAAAATATAGTTAAAATTGTTATTTATTTTATTATATATACATTTTCATTTGAAAAGGTGAAAAAATAGAAACAAATATTTCTCAGACCAACAGAGTACCTAACACAATCTATAAAAATATTCATAATAAAACTGAAAAGGACACCTTTAAAAATTCAATAGTAGTCCTTACAAATTTGTTTATTTGTCAGTTAGAATCAAAATATTCTTAATTTTTTCTATATCCATATCAACTGCCTGGGTCTGTTATGACCCAAGTGAATTGGTAAGTATCTCTATTCTTCTTCCTAGGCAGTTTATGCCAAAGGCTTCGACTTAGAGAAATATGATTTTTTCAATGTATGGTTTCCTAATCAATTTATCTCAGGGAACTATGATTCACAATATCTTAGGAATTTGACAACTTGAATACTTGCCAATTTGAATAAGTGATTATCTTATGATTTAAATATTTTAAAGTGATTTAAATATCTGACAGTTTGTATCATTGTTTTAGTGATTGGTTACCTCACAATATCACTGTTATATCCAGTGCTCGATTTGTAAAAATGAGGTGCCGGAACTGTAACCTATTTAATTTGATTAGTACCTACTTTCCAAAAGAGAGGTACCCGAACTCCCTTCCTCCAAATTCCCCCACAAATCGAGCACTGGCTATATCAACTATATCCGCCACTAACCATTGTGCAGTTCCCCGGTGACAGTTCCCTCGCCAGGTGGCGTGCCGTCCTGATCTCTCCACTTCCAGTCTAGTCCTCTCACCACCCTGGTTCCGACCACCAGCTGCTTCAGTACATGGGTGCGCATCATTCGTCTCTGCTTGCGTAGGTTAGCCTCCGCCTCCTTGGCCGCTTTACCTGTTGACAGAGATTGTGTTAATCACTAAAACAATAAAACCGAGTTTTGTAGCAGACTCCTAACAAACTGAGGATATTGAATGGGGTAGAAGGCTGGACACTTATAAAACCAAATGAGAAAAGGAACATCACATTTGACATAGGGTGTTTGGACCAATCAACGGTAATGGAGAGTGACGCATAAGGGAGAATTTTGAGCTTCAGGAATCACACAAAAGACCAAGGAATTGTGAAAATAGTAAAAACAGGATGTTAATGGGGCTAGGTCATAAGAGAATATGAATTGGACTAGATTATAAAAGAGTATCACTAGAGCAACCAAACTGCTGAAGTGTTGCAGACTTAAATGGAGTGACCAAGTGTCTAAGTTTTAAGGAAGTTATGAGCCAATCAAGAGGGGACAAAGGAGAGACAAAAATGGAGGTATACATGGATAGTAAGATCCAACACAGAATTAAGGTTTAGTTATAAATTTTTCTGACTTCTTATGATCTCTTCAAACTTTCTTTTTAGTAATCACAAATACAGTATTGGGTATTAAAAATTAAAATGATGTACTTTATAACTATCCATCTACCTAGTTGCCATTTGTTTACTACTTCACTAAATATTTTAACTCACCAAGATCCTCGCAGACACCAGTGACAGTTCCGTATATTTCTAGTCCAGACATGCTGAGGTAGTGTGTTTGTCCAGATGAGTTCTTGCCAGTCTGCTGTATTCGTACGTGTCTGTAGCCCTGCGTCTCGTCTGTGGAAGGCTCCAAAGGCCATGACGCTGTACTGCCAGGCTCATTGAGTGAACAATCGTCCACGTGAGTGTACAACGTTACCCAGTTACTGCCGTCTTTAGACACCTGCACAAAAATTATAAGGGAATGTTATGTAATAATTATAAGGATTGTTGTGTAGTAAAATTATAAAATTTACAAGTTATACAAATTATTGAAGATGCATTAACAAATTATGTGGTTTACCTCTGGCATCCTTGGGCACTATAAAAGATCATGGATATCTAGAACCTTTAACATACTACAACCTTTACAAACCTGCAAGAGCCAGTTACGTAGTGCTGACCGTCCGTAACCTCTGGCGTGACGGAGTGTATAGCTTGATGGAATTAGCCACACGCCCAGGTCTACACTGAACCAGGCACGTTTGTCGTCATTGGTGTGACAGTTGAGCGCGGACGAGTCTCTACTGAGGATATCCTCCAATCTGCCGTAGGGGAGGTTTCGACCGTCGGAGGAACTGACTGCCACCAGACCATACTGGCCAGGGTTTACCCATTCTGGACACGTCCTGTGTAAAATTTCATCTTTATAAGTTTTATCTTTTACTTTTTTGGAAGGAAGGTACAAATAAAAAGTATAGATCACTAGGTTTCTCTCATAAATTGGGATTTCATATTTTTTGTCCAGCAATACGAAGTGCTGTCATCTACAAAGCCTGCTTTTGTGAATAATAGGAGTGGGGGGAAGGTGACAATGCTGACCCAATGTGAAAAACAACAAGGACAGTTAGTCAATAAAACATAAAGGAAATTCTCTGACTACTCCTACTCTGTTATAAAAATCCAAAATTTACACTTCAGGCTTTAACCCGGAACATTACTTTAGACTAGGCCTAGACGATGTGGCATTACCACTTAGACAAAATCAATTACTGATTGGCAAGCTTTAAACCTGGGACCTCTGGGACTTAAGTCCCACACTCTACCACTAGACCAGATTGCTCCCCAAAATCAACACTAAACTAATAAAAGATAGTGAGTTCAAAAATTATTTTTCTTCTTTGTATTTTTTTTTCAAGTTATTTGGAATTTGAATTTGTGACTCAGAAAACATTAAAACAGTGTTTGGCAGTGAACAAATGCATCACTGTAAAATCATTTATTACATCATATTATTACAAATTTGATACACATTGACTCAGCAGCCTCCAACCCTTTACTCATCAGCCACACAAAAACTCTGTACACATCATTCAGCAGCTATAATGTTTAAAAGTATATTACAGAAAGGGCTATGAACTATAAAGAAGCGAGCGACTCACTTTCCATTGGTGCCAATCCAGTAGATCAGGCCGTTATCATCAAAGTCGTGTTGGTGACGGAATGTAATACGAGTTCCTTGTTCCTTGAGTCTTCGGACAAACGCAAACGAAGATCGCTCGTAGTCATACCTGTCCAAACAATAGTTATCATGAGGATTACAAACAAGTAACAAGACATTGTAAAAAATAGAAAAGAAAAAACTTGGTAAGAAAAGAGGTAAGAAAAAAGTAGGTTTAAAATGGATTGGAGTGGAGAAGTAGGAGAATGGTAATGAAAATTGCAGGGGTAAATGAAGAAGAGTGAAGAGCCAAAGACATGAGAATTTGGCATGAAATGCCAGAGGGGTTGCAAGATTGAGATAAATAGTAAAGATGTTGACAAGGCCGAGAACCTTCATTGATTAAAGTGGCGGCAAAAGTAAAATAAAAGGTAAAGTAAAAAACTTAAGGGGAAAAATGGAAAAGGATGTAAAATGTGGTGAAAGTTTTCAAGTTTATTCTTATCTGTTCCCTGTGTTAAATTTCTAAAAATTAAGGAGCTAAAACTATGATTTCTTTTAAAATAATAGATTCATAAAGTACTAAACTTTAGTAAACAATTTCACCATTAACTATTTTTACTTTTATTGTGTAAACGATATTAACATTTTTTGTGCGGAGTAGTCCAAACACGAGAGTTAACAGTAATACATTACTTAAAAAATAACATTTAGGCTATTTGGGTGGGTGAGTGTTGAATTATTCAGTTTTTATCACTAATTCAACTAAATTTATTAAAGGAAATGTGTTAATTTATCAATCACGCTTTAATAAAGGAATGCCCAGTCCCGATATTCATACACATACCACTGCTTGGCCACCATCTTGAGCAGGTATCTCTCCAGCTGTGAGACTGTTGCCAGAGGTTCCATCTTGAGAGATCGGCCAGTCCTGTCTATCAGAGACGACTCACTGGATGCCTTCTCTAGTCTAAACCTCAGTCTGCGAGTGAGTATCTGGAAATTAATACAACTATTCATCATGAAACATTTCACTAGCAGGACAAAAATATTTTCATACACCACATGAAAAATTTAAAAAAAAGTTTGCAATAAAAAGCTTTAAAAGGTGATTTACATGAACATAGGGATTTTAAGGGCAAAGGAGCAAATGAAAGGTACTTAGGGAGAATTAGCTTTGGTGATTGTAAAAACAGAAGTTTTCAATACTAATACCAAAACAAAAAACTTAAAAATCCTGTATCTCACAGCAAAAGCTTTTTACTTGATTTCTTTAAGATTACAAACAAATCAGGTAACAATAAAATGTTTTGGTAAAATGTTAAGGTATCCAAAACTGAAAGAAATTGAACTCCTTGACCAATATGAATATGTAATTAATACAATTTAACATAAAAAAAATCTTTATTTTTTGCAAAGAAAAAAAAACACTGAAATAAATTAAACTCCTTTGAGAAGTTTTGAATCTCAAAACTTGTGAAAGGAACCTTAACATCAAGACTTTTCCAAACTTTGGTGGATTTAAGATCTGATTTTGAGATCAACTAGATTAGCTTAATTTGAAATAAAATATATAATAGTAATTACTCTTAGAATGTTCAAAAAGCCATCTACAATAATCAAAATACTATTATAATAACATAGACAACAAGAACACTGATATTTACCTGTAGCCCGTAGCAGGAGCCTGGAGAATCATACAAGTAGATTGGCATCTTCTCTATGGACTCCAGCACTGACACCAACTTGTGGACAAGAATCATGGCAGTGTTGACATTACCATTCTCACCAGCTTTGTCCTATAATAAAGAAAAGTGATACATTGCTAATGTATTCTCTAAAAAATAACTGTAGGGAAGGAAGTTGGCACTTCTTAAAGAATAAGCAATGCCTTCAATTTATTTGTAATAAGGCCTTACTTACAATTTAGATAAGACATTTTCTAGTACGTTAAATTGTTATAAAAAAACTGGAAAATTGTTTAATAATTTATACCTTGCCATGTAGGGAATGTTATGAGAATTTGAAAAATACTACAATAGTTTATTTAAACTGTAGATACTGTTAACCCTAAAAATGTTAATTAGATTCCAACACGCTTGTGTAGACATTTGTAGACATTGCTTTTTGTAAACATTTCCTGAACCCGAACATCATGCTTTTGCAATGAAACACCGAATTGACTCGGCAATATGACTAGTTTCCAACACTGAAAGATTCACTAACTTGGAATGGTACTTGAACCAAAGCACACTCCACTCCTGGGGATTTAAATGTGCAAACTTTATTGTATTTACGTTTAGCCTATCCGTGTCATTAACATTATTAAGGTTTCTTTTTTTAAGGAACGGTTCAAACTCTGGTCTTGTATCTAACATTGACCTTTTAGTTAGATGAAATCATTAATTGATAGCCTCACGAAAAATAGCATCGGGATCCACTGATGACATTGAGCTTGGAAATAAACCAGAGAACTTAAGATTTGAAAACGAGCACTATAACCACTCGGCTACTCAAACATTGCAGATTAACTGTACTTATTGTGGTTGTTGAGTTCAAGAATTTATTAGCTATTAGTTTCAGCTTATAATGCAAGACAATTAGTGCAATAGTTCCATGAATTTTCCAGACTTAAGAATATTAACATAAATACATTTATTTTCTTCTTGTGCCCCATGAGGCTTCTGAACGTGCTGCTACCCACCTTAAAGCAGTTCTTGAACACGGACACCCGTTGTTTCTGCAGCTTGTTTGTCTTGGTAGGCGTAGTCGCCTGGTCCCACGGGCTGGTGGACACAACAGACAGCAGCGCCTGTACTAGACCAGAGCTGTGTATCTCATAGGACGACACCAGCCCCTCCTCTTGCAGCAGACCTGTCAGCTCCTGCAGTGCATTCTGCAGGATCTCCCGCCAACCTGAACCGTTCTCTCGGTTGCTCATGTACTGAGAACAGGACCGACACAAGTTAAACACTTCTCAGCAAAAGGCACTTAGTCAGGATTGTGATTATTAGAATAAAGTGCTGCTGCAAGCTTTAAAGTCCAAGTAGGTCATAGTACAAAAGAACTCTTCATATCAAGCCAACACAGGACCGAGCCCCAGGCCAGAGGATGATTTGGCCGGATAAAATATCCTATTATACAAATAACGTTTTTGATCAAGATTGCTTTAGGCCAGGGGTTTTAAGGATTTTTGAATGGAAATTTTTAACAGCAGAGTTACCTTACTGACGATAATATATGAAAATGCACAAATAACACATAAAAACAGAATTTTTGAGCTACTAGCTCCTTCTTCAGAAGTAGAGTCTTTGTTCTTGTAGGGTGTTCTGTTTGTGGAAGGGGGAGAATAATATATGCTGTCCAGTCTTTGGTTGTGGTCAAACATTATAAGCATGCGTAATATACAAATGTAGTCAAAAGTAGTGTTTGTTGTGAAAGTTACTCACTTGTTTCTGGCATGCTCGTTCTATCTGGGCGACTATGGCTCCCAGTTTAGCGACAACTCCCCGAGGTTGAGCTTGAGCTGCTTTGAAGTACTTGTCGTAAATGTCTTGTGCCTGAACTTTCACCTGGAACATTCCATGTACAATTTGTTTAATGAGGTATAGGTTGAGGTTACTGAAAACTTAAATAGTCATAAACAATGTTCAGCAGTCTATTTGGGCAGGCAGTAAACCGTTTTGCATACTTGCTAGCTACTTGGATTGAATTACTTTGCATGTTGTACGGTTACAAAATAAAATCTACTTAAAGACAAACTTAAATTTTTAAATATTTAGATTAAAACTTGTTGCGGATAAGGTAGGCACAAATCTAGTTATTGTTTGCACATAGGATACATGTGCTGGACCGTTAATATTTTAACTATACTAAGGGGATCTTCCAGGCACAAACCCTGTAAAGGAATTTTATAAAAATGGAAACTTACCGGTTGACAGTTTTAAAAAATCAAGAGAAAAACTTGCTTGACCATTAATTTTAAGAACACTGTAAACTATACCTTTTGTTTCATTGCCTCAATCTTGGATCTGAGCCTCTTCCCCCGCTTGCCAGTCCACCCTGCAGCAAACTCAGGCCCAAGGGAAGTTTCTGCAGTGAAGGAATGTTTCGTACCTCGGTTAGACTCAAAGATAAAACCGGGCAAGTCCTCTCTGAGGATTGTAGCTTGCTGTAAAGAGAACATTTGCACCATCAATACTTCTGCTTGAGAGTTAACATAAATATTGATAATTTAAGGAAGTAGATATTGGTTGGTTATGTATCAAATAATGCATACAGTGTTGTATTTAATGATAAAAGGCTTTCATATCAACTTAACACAAAAATGTATATTTCCCTAAAACTTGTATTACCTGCAGATTAGGTTTATGTCTTTCAACTAGAAGAAATCCAATTGTATTCATTAGGTTTGTGACCTTTTACGAATGGTGGCCATAGAACTTTTGTACGAAAACAAATTTTCTGGATCTTTAAGTGTACCTTTAAACTAGGGGTCTACAGGTACCCATTATTTTTAGGTCGAGTCAAAATAACATTTGGCCTAAGAGATCAATTTGGGCCAAAAATGACTGTCAGGCTGAGCCCAAGCTATATTTCTATGATTGCACAAAACATTTGAGAAGATGCTTCATCAAAAGTTGACGATTTTGTCACTATTATGTATGATGTTCACACTTTTGTCATGATTGTGGGAGATGACATAAAATGTTCTGGAAATATCCATGGAAGATGCATTCGATTTTGCCATAACCGCAGACAATATTCAAGATTTGGCTCTAAAGATTTGCCTTAACCTGGGAAGGTGGGTATGATTGCATTGACCACGGAAGATGCTAAGAATTTTCTGTGACAGCAGACGATGTTCACAGTGTTTTGACAGTCGGGGTTTTCATGCACAAATACAGTTTCATGAGCATTTACTCCAGCAAATACAGTATGTTCCAGGATATTAAACCCTTTTAAATTAGTCATAGATTCATATTGCAACAAAAAGGCATGAACGTCATATTATCCCAGTGACTGTCTGTTGTGTCGCAAGTAGTTGGCCCAACGGATGTAATGGAGTTGACAACAACACAGATATGTTATACAGATAAAGATAAATTTCAGCAACAACCAAGTCTGGATTGTAAACATTACCCTCATATATTTCAATTCAGTTCCACATTAGAACAAGGCCCTCCTTAAAATCATGAACAAATCGTGATAAAAATTTCTTTTTACCATAAATGTCATAATACATACCTGTTGGCCATCAGAGTTGTGTATGATGAGTTCCCCTTCCTTGTGGCTGGACAAGGCCCAGTTTCCCACCACTATCCGCAACTGTCCCGGCTTAGACAGTATCGGCTGACTAGGAGAGTTGGGCTTCACTTGGGCCCTCGCACGTTGCAACTTGTCCAGGAACTCTCCGCGATTCTCTGCACACCGTACAAGTTTATATATACTGCACAGTATATGTGATGTAAAAATAAAAGGGAAGCTTGGGCAAGAATAGGTCTACTAATAGGTACTGGAATAGGTGCTTTATCGGTGCAAATATTATGTGAGAATTAGTGATGAAAAGATCCTAGCAGATATTATGGCAAAAATGTGGTTCTTTCAAGGGGTAAACCATTTTGTTAGGTGAATCATCAGTAATTTTTATGGACAGTGACCAATAATGGGCCTTCATCTATAATGAAGTGACGTTGAGCTATTTTTGGATTTGGTATGTTTTTAAATATACCTTAGTTTTTGAAGGGAACGGGAAGTGAACTTGGCTTGGAAATACATTAAGAAAATAGGAATTGATATATGTAGCTTAGGCTACTTACTTATTTTAGACAATTCTCTTCGAGAAAGTTTTCTCAGATTTAAAAACAATGAGAGTGATAAAAAACTTGAGATTGAGAAATATGCTTAGCTCACGTTCTCTCCAATTGAGGCAATCGTTACTGTTTCAATGAAATTGTTTACAGGATCAATTATCAAGTTTTCTTTTCTAAAACCATATTGATTTGACAAGAAAATGCCAAAAAGATAAAGGAAATCCGTAGTTTATTCCAATCTGGTTTTAATTGGTATATTGACTGAGTATTTTGTTGAACAGTTCTATTGTTATCAATAACCTAGGGTTATTTGTACATTTAAAAGATCTATCTATCAAGCATAACTATGTCAAAAGGAGGATGATGATTTAGCTGTACTTACCATCAGAAGCTAAGGTTTCTGAGTTCCTTGTTTTCCCTGCAATGGCCAAACACAAGCGTATTAGTAGATTAATAATCACACCATCTAGCATCAAGTGATGAGATGACATGAGAAATTAGATTGTATTAGTGTTTAACAATACATTATTGAACAAGTTTTAACATTTAACAACATAACCTTACCGTGAGACTAAAACTAGAGTTGAGGCATGAACAAGCACAATAAATACATACCATGGCATTGATTTATTACACTTATGAGAATGGACTTATTAGACAAAGTATTAATGTAAGAATTAATTGTTTTAAACTAATATCTATATACACTAATCAACAAACCTTGAAAGAGTCTACAATATTAATAGTCAAAACAGGGTCTATAGGTAAGCTTTTTCTAAGTGATAATTCTTTTAAATAAAACCCAACTCTATTCCCTTATTGTAATATTGTTTAAGCTGTTACAAAAATAAATACATTTTGCATTAAGACAATAAATTAGAAAAGTGGAAAATTTGAATACCGGTAGGCCTAGTTTATGATTTGCAAAAAAAAAAACAAAAAAACTTTTTATCCCAAAACTCCTTCAATCCCCTTTATGATGCCGAATACATTTAGAAAATTTGGGATATTGAACTATCTAAGTAAAATCGCTGAGTAGTAAAATAAAATACCATTTAACAGGTAAAAAAAAAGATTTTTTCCTGATAAATAGTAAAATTAAATCAAATTCATACCATTTTAGAGACATACTGAAACAAAAGTAGAACGTTTTTGTTTTTTATAGATTATATTACACATACTATCAGTGATATATGTGGTTTGGTACTGGTGTTCCACCATCTCAATTGATGAGGAGAGCTGAGTCTCACATAAAAACTCGAGAGTGATCAAGCACCAAGTAAAACAACTGAGTTCAAGCAAAGCTTTTACCATAGCAATAAACAATTTACGCTCTCGCCTCGATTGCAATCGATTTGGATAATCCAAGATTTGTATGATTGGAGTTCTACTGTAATCACTATAATATTACCACACAGACAGTGAAGATTACATAAAGAAATCCAACTCACCCGTAGAGTCAGTTCCACCTTCCGGACTGCCAGAGGAATACATGGTGGCCAACTTGCCGTCAAGGATGAAACGGAACCATCCGTTGCTGCCATTGGACAGCTCCAGCGCGGCAGCGTCCGACCAGACGTAGAGACAGTCTCGGCCACGGCACAGACACCAGTCTCTCCAGTGGTACGCCTTGCCTGGCAACATCTCCTTGGTATCCTCCATCAGCTCACACTGCTCCTGAACAACCACAACCAAGTAGATAAAGGAAATGTTGTTATTTGCATTTAAATATATTTAGCAATGTTTTAGGTATCGTTAAAAAAGCTAAGCTTTATTTACATTTTCATTCAAATAAAACTTTTAAAAACAAACCATGAAATAATTCCTCTTTGAAATCAATACTTATAACACTGTAAAATTGAAATCCAACATACCATGTCGTCTTTTTTGCAAATGGATTGTGTTTCATTTATGGACGACTCTTGCGGTCCTGCCAACTGAAGAACCTTGGAGAACACTCCTAACCTTGCAAAATGATCTAGGAAAATATCCTTGGCTTTGGTCATCAAGTCTTCGATGATTTGTAGAACCACAAGATGTCCGTCTTCGTCATCCTGATAAAAGAATAACAATGGTCAAAACTTGGATCTACCTATTAGCAAGTTCATCATGAATACAAAGACTGGAAAGTACTGTAACTTTAGCAGACAATACTGTAAATACTTGTTAAGTAGGCCGAATGAAACTCATTAATCCAAAAAGATTAAACCAGCAATCTAGACCCTAAATAATTAAAATTTCAATTTATTTAAGATATAAGGATAGAGTAATATGTAAAACATAAATAATTTTTAATAAAACAATAGGATATTTTACTTAGGTTTACAAATTAATGAAAATTGAAACAACACACAGCAAAAAACACAAGAAGCAACCCCCCTGAAGCACATTATTTCCTCTAATTTTAACCACTTAATGTTCAGTTTACTTTCTTTAACAACAAAAAAATCACCCCATTTATCAAACCTGTAATAAGTAACATCTTGTACAGTATTTGATTTGTCATGAATTTTTCAATAGAATTAATAAATCAATGTATATATGGGGGATGGGTATTTAAGATTTTTTTAAATTGTATGTTACATTTTCAAGGCACACGATTAAAAAATTATTAATTTTCTTAACACAGTTTATTCATCCAAAACCTTTAGTAAAAAAGATACACGACTAAGAGTAGCAAGTAAAAATCCACACTTAGTTCATACCTAACCTTTACAAAAACCAATCAATCATTTTGCTAACCACAATTATACAGTACAACTTTTAAGACTTTTCTTGCTGTTAGTCAGATTCTATTTTCCATTTCTACAATCGCAACAGCCAGACAATATTTTGGTGAATACAAGAACAAACCTAGACCTAGTGTTAATCCGTCAACAACACCCAAGAAAACTGACAAGACAAAAAACTGCACACCAGGGGGGAACCCACATGTGCCCAGAATCCAATGTTTGTGGAAACGAGAAGCAATATGGTGGCAGATCTATGAGTCACTGAGTCCGCGGACAAAACCTACGGCCTTACGGAACTTCAAACGAGTTACTTAGCCATGAAATGAGAGGCTTTAGATGGTTAACTACCACATGTATTAGGATAGTTAATGTGTGTAAACCCCAAAGTGGGTTCATGCTAGATAGTTTGAAAGAGATAAGAAATCTAGACTTGAGTTCATTAGATGGACTAACGTAAATTTATAACTCGTTTTATACCAAGCTAATATTTTTAACAAGTCCTTAGAAAAATCACAATTGGGTCCGGAAATTCTCTTTAGGATTGAATTAACAATTTAGGATTGAATTAACAATTTAGGATTGAATTAACAATCAACTAGAGTCAGATCATATAATTTTGTTGAGACTGTTTTTTAAAACAACTATATCAGACTAGAATTCATATTTTGCCCAAACTATTGCGTAGACCACAACTGGCAGTTTACATCCATTGTTAACTACCCTAATATGTGTGCGCTGCATGCAGTTCTTTGATTTGAGGTGAAATATGTATATGTAAAATAAAGAAAAGTTACTTGTAATACCACCAACATGTATAGGTATTACGTTATACTGCAACTGTTTTATCAACTTTAAACCATTGCAAATTATTTTTTTAACTTTTAGCATATTTAGTAAAAAAAATAAAGCCTTCTTTAACCTTTAAAAGGAATAAAACAAAACACAGCTAATTTTGGGAAAAATAGAGTTATTCTAAAAATCATTCAAAAAGGCTCTCCACCACATTTATTTAATTTATTGGTAAAAAAAATTATTTTATCTAAAACAAATCTGTATGATTTTAATTTGTTTAACTATATCAAGGATTTTGAGGTGGATAGGTTACAAGCAGGCTCAACTTACTGACTAAAATAGATAAAAATTTACAAATAAACACATGGAATGATCAGAGTAGACCTAGTAGTATTTGTTGTGGAACAAGTTAGTAGATTCAAAAATTCGTTGAGTTCATTTGTACATTTTTATCTGTTTTTGTCACCTAGTTAGTTAAGTCTGTCTGTAGTTAAACCTGAACACCACAAAATACTTTAAAATCCTGGCCTAAATCCATCTTTACCAGAATTGTCATAAATCAAATTTTATTTTAACTGTTATTTAGCTTTTTTAAATATTTTACAAGTGGATTATTATCATTAAGCATCTTAGGTGGGATAAAAAAAGTAATGATGACGTAAATGCTAAATTCTACTTTTAATGGTTTGTTACAACAATAAACCTTTTTTAACAAAACACATATTTTAAAAGCCTCTCAATTTCAAACAGTCAAATCCGCCCCAGGAGTATGGACATATGTAGTTCCCCAGTTACCGTTGTTTTATCGATAATAAACTTGGTGTGTGGGTCCCAACGGAGCACCAGACGGCCCCAGCACGGCCTGGGGTCGACCGCTGCCACGTTCACTACGCTACACGGCCAACTGTAAGTGATCTGCAACCACATGCTTGTTGTACCCTCGCCTATCCATTGCTATTGCCCACTATCTGGCATAGTTTTAGTATTGATACATGATTCTTTAACTGAAGTTCAACTGAAGTTGAAATGATATGTTCAACAAAAAAGCCTGGTTTTCCTAGTTGCCAAATACGACTGCGTTTATTCGGCATAGGGTCAGGTATAGGTGTTATTCATCTGTCAAATTCAGCAGGGGCTGTATGCCTTGGTTGGAGGAGCAGTAAGTCCCACACTATGTAGGACATAAAGGTTTACATCAGTTCCTGGAAGAGGAAAATAGACATGCTCCTTAACTATTTTTGTTACCTAATGCAGTGAATTGATACAGTTATTTTTTTAACAGTTATTGAATTTAATTTGTTTAGTTCAGTTAGTCCTACATTAAGTTCTGAACGATGGGTTTCAAAAATGCAAATTAAAACCAAGACTATCAAATTAGTTAAATTCAAACGTATTCTCTTGCTAATTAGCATTTTTTTGTCTTGGGATAAAAGATTTGAGTAGAACGTCACAAATCTATGTTTTGAGAAGGTCTTAAAGTTGACAAACTGGAACAGTAGACTACTAAAACTTGACACATAAAACTATTCCGCAATTGAATATCACAGGTCAAGGAAAGTGTAATGTCTTTGCCTTAAAATGCTGCTGCTAGAAAACATACACAACATTGATTCCACAGCCGTATTTGGCAGGCAAATTCGACAACTAGGAAAACGTTAAGTTTTTTTTTTTAGATTGCAGGCTTTTACCAGAATGGGAGAGAATCCATTATCTACTCAAGAAAGAAAAACTTTACAAACTACACAACAGTTAGAACATTCACAGTCACTTAAGAGAGATGTCTTGGGACCTGAAGACATCTCTCTTTTCAACTCAAACCAACTCTGGTTGAAAATACTGCTTTCAGTGACAGTGAAACGTTCCATTTTGTTTTATATTGTGTAAAGTTTAGTGTTCCTTGTGCCATAGATAAGCCTGTTAAAATAAAAACCCTTAAAACATGGCCTTTGTCTTCTAAGTTAAACTCTCAACCTGAAATGTAACTTAGTAGGCCTACTTCAACTTTACTTTCAAAACCTAACTTGAGATACAAAGCCTTTAATATCTCTTAGCGAATCAATTAAACACAAGTTCATACTGAGTGATGTGTTGATTCAACCAATTGATAGCTGCAAGTAAAAACGTCTTTTTCCTTAATTTAACCAAAAATACACTTGAGCAATCAAACTTACCAAGATTGAAGAGATCCAAAATAAAACATGATAAGAGTTGTTATAATTACTACTCTAACATTTCGGTCTCAATACTGAGGGCTATCTTCGGAGCAACTTGACTTCACTTAAAACTTCATAGTGCAGGAGTCAAGTCGCCCTGAAGATGGCATCTTGATTGACGACGAAAGGTCGGGTACTAATCATAAAAAAAAAAAAAAACAATGGAAATACTGTTGGTCAAGTAATTTCGAGCGAGAATTTCAGTATTCGGCTCAACTCAAATTTTTAAGGAACATGAATGTTTAAAAAAGTTGTCCAAAAACAATATTGAATTGAGTATTTAAATTACTATACTCTGCTCAGCGAGCACCTTAAATCCATATTGTATATTATAAATACATTGATATTAAACCCAATTTTTAAACTTTTGGAAGAGATATTGGACTTACCTCATTGTCCAGAACGGTGGCTATCACCTCCACCAGCATCGTGCCGAGGTTGTATGTGGATGACTCAGGACTACATGCCTCGACCAACAGCGACGGCTGGATATAGTGGACCATCTTCTTGATCAGGCTTAAACTCGCTTTCCTAAAATGGAATACGAGTGAGTATTAGTTTTCAAGATTTTCAGTAGTGATGGTCAAAACGACTAATTTTCTATCTCAAAATCGAAACAAAAACATTAAAAATCGGAATCTTAAAACATAAATACAAATTATTTTTACATACTTGCTTGTAGTTAAAAATACAAGTAATAATTAAATGTTTATTAAGCAAACAAAACTGAAAGATAATGGATTCCAAACACTGTAATAGTAAAATGAATATGTGACACTTCAATCTTATTTAAATGTTTCAAAAGTTTATTGAGAATCTAACAATGTGAATGGCAATTTATCTGAACTCGTAAGGGAAGAATATTGATCAAGTTTAAATTGTTTTCTTGTAAGAACATTTTGTTAATATTTTAAAGTAGAAAGCAAAGGATGTGAACAATGTTCGTGATTTTGCCAGGAGACTTTCATATTTTCTGTTGCAAACAATAATGACGGCACCAAAAAATGCCAGCAATTTCAGTTTTGAACCGTCTCAAAGCTTTAGCGGTTATGAGATAGTACAGTAGAGTCTCTATAATCCGGCCGTTCATTAGACCGGCACGTCCAGTAATCCGGCACTGTGTTTTCGCCGAATATTCAGTAAATTTTCATGTCTAGACTTGAAAACGCGAGTGTCCATATTTCACAACAGCAGTACACTGACGACTGACGTCTGCTACGGGTAGTTGCGTACAGTGCGTGGCGTGTGAGTTGAGTGAAGGCAGTGTTGTGAGTACAGTGTATATACTATACAATCTACAAGTGTAGTGCGATGTTGGGAAAACGTAAGCATGTAACGCTGACTTTAGATAAAAAGTATATGATTTTAAAACGTTTGGAAAAGGGTGAAAAGTTGGCTCATCTGTCTAAGGAATACAATATCGGCCGTGCAACTATACACGACATAAAGAAGAAGGAGCAGATCGAATCATTCTTTAAGAGGAGTAGTGAATCATCTTCGAAGGTAAGAAAGACATTAAAAGTAGGCGAATTTCCGCAAGTAGAAGACGCACTTTATAATTGGTTCATGCAAGAAAGGAGCCGACACACGCCAATTTCAGGTGATATTATAATGGAAAAGGCGAAACTGTTCTATAACAAAATCATGAAAAAGGACGACTTCCGTGCAAGTGTTGGGTGGCTGGATAAATTCAAACGACGCTTTGGAATTCGACTGCTAACTATGACTGGTGAAAGGCTTTCGTGTGATGTAGCGGCTGCAGAACCTTTTATTGAAAAATTTAAAGAAATCGTGGATGAAATGGACTTAGGCCCAGATCAGATCTACAATGCTGACGAGAGTGGTCTGTTTTGGCGTCTTTTGCCGAAACAAACATTCGTTCATAGAGAGGAAGCTAGTGCCCCTGGTCGCAAGTTGGCCAAAGATAGAGTAACTTTTATGCCGTGTTGTAATGCTAGTGGCACACATAAATTAGAATTGCTTGTTATTGGGAAAGCCAAAAAGCCAAGGGCTTTCAAAAACACACAGTTGCCAGTTACATACACAAACTCGACAAAAGGATGGATGACAAAAACTCTTTTTTTGGAATGGTTCCATCAAACGTTTGTACCATCAGTAAAAAAGTTTTTGAAAGCACAAAAACTGCCTCAAAAGGCCATTTTGTTGCTCGATAATTGTCCTGGACATCCAGATGAGGATGAGTTAAAAAGTAGGGATGGAAAAATCACTGCTTTATTTTTGCCCCCAAATGTAACTCCGATACTCCAGCCCATGGACCAAAATGTGATCCAAACTATAAAAACGAATTACAAAAAAACCCTTTTGTACAGTGTTTTGTCAAAAGAGGGGAGTGTTGTTACAGCTCTGAAGGAACCCAACCTGAAAGATGTTGTTTTTAATCTTGCAAGTGCATGGGAAAAACTTGCAACAAAAACAATTGTTTGTTCATGGGCGAAGTTGTGGCCTTCTCTTGATTTATTAGAGGATTACAGAAGACAATCAAATCCTCAAACGACAGTGACAACAGATGCTGAGCTAAATGACTTGAGAGAAGCAATAGCCGAACAGTTAGTAGACGATCCAGAAGATCTGACATCAGCCGATGTTACCGCCTGGTTAGACGGAGCAGACGACGAGCAGTGTCAAATCATGACAGACGATGAGATCATCGAAGATGTTCTAGACGGCTGTGACGTGGAGGAGGGGGACGAGGAGGGCGGAGTGGGCGGAGCCAGTACGTCGACGTCGACAGCTGCAGCTGCACACACAGTCAACACGGATTCGGCGCTCTGTGCCTACGCAACTGCAATAACTTGGGCGGAAGAAAACGGTGCTTCGGCTTCCGATATTATGACACTAAAGAGGCTCCAGGAAAATGTTTTAAAACTTTCTTTTAATGCAAAGAAGCAGAAAAATATTACAAACTATTTTGCTGTAGTTTAAGTAGGTCTTACATGTAAAGTGTACAGTAGGCCTAAAGTTCTGTAATTTTCATTTTGTACACGTACAGTATTTAATGATTATCTTTGTTCATCGTCTGATATTGTACTGTACGGTTGTTTGCTGTTTCATATCACTGTTTATTTTTCACAATAATACATTAAACAACATTTCATTAGGCCTATACTGTACAGAAATTCAAATGATTGTTATCATAGTTTTCGTAAGCAATAAAATGTTGTTTATTGTAAAACCACTTCAATTTCTGATGCATTTCCACTAATCCGGCATTTTCTATAATCCGGCCATACTAATCCCCATATAGGGCCGGATTAACGAGATCCTACTGTATCTTCAGTAGTAATGTATCTTACCTGACACTAGCGAGCATTGTGCATTGGAAGGTGTTACAAAATACTGGTAACAGTCTTCGTAGGTACAGAGGAGACATTTCCGGGTCTCCCTTTGGTTCAGTGCTTTCTTCCGCTTCTACAGTGTCCTGCTTCTTGTCTTTGTCTACTGGCAGCATCCATTCACCTGCAGATAAGATTGATGTGGTTATATAAACACCATTGACATCTATCATACCAATGTCTTGAAGCAAGTTCCAATCTTCCTTTTGTTAAAATATATAATAGTAGAAGCTATCTTTTAGTTGAGTGGAGAAAATTCTTCAATTTTTAAAACAGAAGCGGATATAAAATAATTGCTACATTATTTCTTTAGCCTTTTAGGTTTTTTTCTATATTCCCACAAGTTCAAAAGATAAAACAAAGCTTAGCTGAGCTTAAAGTTCACCTGGACCAAAAGAACGTACTTTTATATGAGCTTCAGTCAAACAGATAAGTTGGAGGCCCGGATTGGAAGATGAGTGAGGATACAATTTAAATTTTTTTTTTCCAATGTGTCTTATTTTAGGCTATATTTTAGGAATAAGCTTAAAAAAAAAATTAAAGTCAACTATTTCGCCAACTAATATTGTATTTGCTAGCTAGTTTAATTTCAAATTATTATGCTTTTATCCTATAAAACAATTTCTTACTATTTTAACACCTGCTTTTTAATTTCTTTTTTTTCTATGCCAGTAGCGTACAAGAGGTTAACGTGAGAATAAAGTTTTTATAGTTAAAGAAGTCTTCTGACAACAAATGACTAGTTTGCGTTAGTCGAGACTGTGTTACCAGTGAATTGATTTTGTTTCTAACACTGAAAAGTACACATCAGTTTATACAACCATGACTGTGTAGTGAAATTTTGTTGATGCCACTCTAGGTAAATATACATTTCATCATTGTCTTGATCTAAAAAGTCTCCAGTCTCTTACAAGTTCAGACTCACCAGGGGATTGCAAGATGGCGGCTACCTCTCGATGCCCTTCGTCCACCCTCTCTCTGGCTTTGTCGAGAGGAGTCTTGCCGTCTTCGTCTCGGAGGTCAGGGTTGGCCCCGTGGCGCAACAACACCTTGGCTATGGCTGGGCGGCCGAAACACGCGGCGTAGTGCAGCGACGACGACCGCTGGCCTGAGTATGCGACAGTTAGATGGTTTCCATTGTGTTTGACTGAGTAAGAGGATAATAATGAGGAGTCTGGAAATGAAAGGGATAATGTGGACCCATCAAGGAGTGGAAAAGGATTGTACAGATATAAATATACAAGAGAAATCTGCCTATACTAAAATCATGGCTATCAGAATCATATTATTCAATTTAATCTCAGAAGTCCTAAGAGAATTTATTTCCTCCACTATAAAGGGTGAAAATAGAAAAAGTCTTTTATAAGACAAATGAAAATGTATAGGTACAGGAGACTGTAGGTTTCATTGCCAAACTCAGTGAACCCTATACTTACTCAATTGTGGGAAACTTTAGGGTATAAAAACCTGTTTTAAATCTAAATATATAATGGGTCTTGTGGTCTAAAACCAATAATCAATTACTTCTCTACCATCTTCTTGGTTAAAAACCATCTACAATGAAAATTTACACTGTGTCTGGTGTAAGAGTGGACTAAGATTTTTTCTAATACAGAGGAGATACAGAAGTTGCCAAATTGTCTCCTTACCTTTGTTGACATCAGCGCCTCGCTCACAGAGGAACTCCACCATCTCCTGGGTGCCGAAAGCTGAAGCCCAGTTGAGCAGAGTTTGACCCACATCATCCATGAAATTAACTTCAATTCCTGTAAACAAGTTTAATTAGCTAACTTCTAACACATTCTATAAGGTTGATTGAAGAATACTTTAATTTACAGGTTAAAGGGCTTAAATCATATTGGTTATATTTTAAGGAAACCCACAAGATGTCGATGAATTAGCATCACTGAGCTATGATGAAAACTTAATTCAGCAACAAATTCCAATAAACTGCCCAAAGTATTTACAGTACAAGCTCTAATATCCACTGTGGGCTGGACCAATAAGGTTTTGTTGTTGCATGAAATGGTTAAATATTCAGGATAATAAAATTCAAGAGAGAAATTGTAAACTAACCTGTGTCAATAGCCTCGATGAGTGCGTCGGTGTCTTTGCTGCGGATACAGTCGATGAGCTGACGATGAGTCTTCTCCCCTGCAGAGTCCATCCTACGCAGTCTGGGCAGCAACTGACCACTAGCTCCCCCTCCACTGGCTCCTCGAGACAGGGCTTTGCGGCCCTCAAACAGCAACACCAGCAGCAGGTCTACCAACCTCATAGTGTCTAACACACACCTAATAAAACATAGGGAAATAGTTCAGTATTTTGACTGATAAGCCAGCTAAGACCATTTTGAGACTGACTGCCTTCCAAATCACATTAAATATTCTTATTTTTCTACATTGCATTGCCCATGTAACTTTAAATGTAAAGGTTTATTACTATCTTTGGATCACTTCGTAGACCAGACCAGTAGATCTATTATGTTGTATCAGGTCAAATTTCAATGGGTGGTAATATTTTCATGGTCAAAACAAATCCGTTGATTTGGTTCACACAACGAACGCTTGACGTCGTGTGGAGGGGATAACTGTAGCTCTCAACCTTAACACCAAGGCGATCCCACCTTAACACCAAGGCGATCCCACCTTAACACCAAGGCGATCCCAACACCAGGTGCGATGCAACAAACTGTGAATTTCCATAAGCAAGTATACAAACCTTTTTCAATATTAATTGGTAATTAAGATATTGCTTCATAACACCATTATTTGGTAAATCAAATTAATTGCAAAGCCACAAAAATAACACATGTAAAATATATTTTCATGAAAGTACAACTTCTATCTTTCTACAGGCTGTAGATTGATTTATATTTTAATATAAAATTAGTATGATAGTAAATCATTATTTCTAATCAAGTTTTGACCAATGCCATATTCTTACCTTTCATCTCCTTTTAAGGCCTTCTCAATAGCATCAGGCAACTCTGACCTGAGCAAATCCTGTAAAATATAAGCAGATTTACTTTAACTCGACTTGACTACTTGCAATGAACTAAACTGTACTTTAACCAACACTTCTTTACAAACAACAAACCTAATTATGTATTCAGAAAATAATTTTATAATAATTTAAGGTTTAAAGAACTATATTAACATGAAATGTCAAAAATTGTTCAGTATAGGTTTCTTTAATGTTGAAGGGATGAAACAGAACTTTCTTGACCCGGCGAGCGGGATTGTTATTTTGATTGTGTGGTGATTTGCCTACTCACATGTGTTATGCTGGGGGATCCACGACACAGTGTTGACAACAGACTGATGATGGTGGACACTGATGCTGGAGACTTAGTCTCCGTCGTGTTGGTACTTGTGTTGGCTCCAGGAGTACCTGTAACATTACACCATTAACAACCCTGGAAATGTACAATATTAAGAAAAGTCCATGTGGTCGTAGTGTTTGCTTTGGGAAAACAAGTATTTTCTAATATAATATATTCCCTAAGTATATTTGCTAAACCCTCCTATCAATTTGTCTTGGTAAAAGATTTCCTGTGTTCGTCAGAAATTAGTAATTTATAGTACTCTATTAGAGGCTTAACGGAACGTTAATTTTGGTTAAAAAATTTGTGACAACTTTAACATAGCGGTGGGGATGGAATGTCTCGTTCCATTAATAGTTAACGCTACGACCTACAAGAACTTTGTTCCTAACCTTTGACCAACCAATCATCAGACTATGAAAACGGCTACATCCACTAAGTCCCATACTATCACTTAAATAAGTCACACAAACTAGGCTATTTGAGCTATACAAGGAACATCCCATCAATGACAATCTCTTTTTATTATTATTTATTGCTCCTACTCTCACTGTCAATACTCACTTGGTCCTGACACAGTTGTCTGCGAAGGCCCTGCGGCGTTGGACAGACGAGTCAACAACTCCGAGACTAGACCATGCTCAGCAAGTGGCGCAGGGTCTACTCCTCGTCTTGTAAACCTGCAAATCACGGGAAATTACAGTTGAGCTAAAATGCTATGTACATCTTAAGTATTATGATTTTGTAAGGCTGTGGCATAACTGTTTGGTATGATGGATTTGAAACCATTTCAGAAAAAAATAGGTTACACAATTCCCTAGTTTCTGATCAATTCTAACAACTAGGTAGTTACAGGGTGTCTAGTTTATTTCCATTATAAAATTCAAGACTAGTTCCAGACTTTTCAAGACTAATCCCAGATATTTCAAGACTAGTTTTTTCCACAATTAGTGGGTGTTGATACCAAAATGTATCGATTCTAGATTCTTGATACCCATACCAATTTTTATAGCTTAACCAAATTTTCTAAATAATACTACACCAACTCTTTGTCTTTGTCATAAAGTAGTAGATAATGTGGTGTTTTCAAGTAAAGAAATAATGCAGCAATAAAAAATTCTAACTAGCAAATTTGGTTTTTTTTTACATGAAATCTTCCGCGTACTCTACGTTTAACCATCATCATTGACTGCAGCGGTTACAAAAACGTGATCGTCGTCGTCCGCGATCACGGCAAAATCATGAACATTCCCCGCGACCGTGTATACATCATCGTCGTCTCCCGCGGTCACGGAAACTTCATCGTTATCTCCCGCGGTCACGGAAACCTCATCTTCGTCTCCCGCGGTCACGGAAACGTAATCGTCGTCGTCCGCGATCACGACAAACTCATGAATATTTCCCGCGGCCGAGCAGATATCAATGATATCATCGTCGACTCCCGCGGTCATGGAAACGTCCTCGTCATCTCCCGCGGTCACAGAAACGTTATCGTCATCTCCCGCGGTCACGGAAACGTCATCGTCGTCGTCCGCGATCGCGACAAAATCATGGACATTTCCCGCGGCCGAGCAGATATCATCGTCGTCTCCCACGGTCACGGAAACGTCATCGTCATCTCCCGCGGTCACGGAAAGGTCATCGTCGTCTCCCGTGGTTTCGGAAACGTCATCATCGTCGTCCACTATCGCGGCAAAATCGTGAACATTTCCCGAGGCCGTGAGGACAATCATCATTGGCTTTTGCGGTTACGTAAACGGAAGACGACGATCGCGGTAAAATCATAAAAATTCCCGACTTTGAAATCAAATTTAAGACTAAATCCCGACTTTTCAAGACCATTTTGAAATTCAATACTAATTCCCGACTTTCCCGATTTTCCCGACTACTAGACACCCTGTAGTTATATAACTTTATAAGTAGAGTGTTAAGAGAAATACCAATTTTTACATCTTATTTACATTGAATGAGATATTAAATAAGAAAGTAAAATGTATCGTTGACAATTGATTTTGACAGATAATGTGGGACTTACGGGTCTTTAAAGTGGTAATTTTGTTTTAGTTACAAATAATAATAATACAAATGATGGGGCTGAACCACATGATTGAAAGATACTATCAATGATTTTAAAAAACCATAATAATCAGGCAAGTTTACACACAAACTGACCTGTCCGACAGTGAAGCAAAGCACCTGAGCGCTCCGTCCGCTACGTGTGTATCTTCATGCCGCAGTAGTGTAGAGAGAGCCTGTACACAGGCGGGTAATGTGGGGTCCGCTGGCTCCATCTTGGTACATAACCGTGACACCACGGTCATCGCAGAGTGTAGCGTATCTTTGTGTACGCGAGACGCGTAGTCGCGAATGAAGGACAACACGCAGGCTAAGCCGCCTGCTTCAAACACTGCGCCTGCCTCACGGGAACATATCAACTCCAGCACCTGTAGCAGATAAAATTGACATTGACTAAAGCACAAGCATTTATTTCAAGGTCTTTTTACACCTCTTGACTTTGTTTAAGTCTATCGAGAGTCTGAAAAAGTTTTTGTCAGAGAAAACCAACACTTAGGTACATACAAAGGTGACAAAAAGTAGTATATAACCAGCTTTTAACCTTCCTTGAATCAAACAAATTGTTGGATCCCGAGCAACATGGCTTCCGACAGGGAAAATCTACGATAACTGCTGGTATCGATTTTATTGAATCAATAATTGACTCCATTGACAGAAATGAGAAGGTAATTGGAATTTTTCTCGACTTTTCAAAAGCATTTGACTCTGTTTCACATAAGAAATTGATAGAAATTCTTCACGGCTTAAATATAAATAATAAAGAGCTTAAGTGGTTCAGTTCATACTTGCAAGGAAGGCAACAATGTGTCCAAATACAGCATAATTTCTGCCATCCAAATAATAAATACTCTTATACTCAAAATGTTTACTCTGAATACAAAAATATTAAATATGGTGTCCCCCAGGGATCTATTTTGGGCCCTCTTTTATTTCTTTGTTATATGAGGGGGTTCCCACTAGCTGTCGATGGAGGAAGTTCAGTGTGTCTTTATGCTGATGACACCAACATCACAGTTACAGGCAATTCCCAAGAGGAAGTCGAACTGAAATCTTTTCTAAATCTTTTATCAATTAATGATTTCTCAAGTAGCAAAAATCTCCTAATAAATTACAGTAAATCAAATTTTGTATCATTCTCCACAAAACAATCAAGATGTAAATTGAACCCGAATATTTACCTTGATAATTCAAACTTGAGTCAAGTGGAGTACACGAAATTTCTCGGATTGATATTGGATCAAAACCTAAATTGGGATTTGCATGTTGAGCATGTAATTGATAAAATGTCAAAAGGTAGATACGCCCTGCGACAAATGTCAAGGGTGTGTGATATTGATACTTCAAAAACCATATACTTTGCATTAATAAATTCTCACATATCCTATGGTATAGCAATTTATGGAGGAACTACCCAGAAAAATTTGGATAAAATTCTTCATCATCAAAAAAAGCACTCCGAATTATTTTCAAAATTAAAAATAAACGCCAATCAATGAAACCATTTTTTTCTAATTTAGGTGTTATGACAGTCTATGACTTGTATATTTATGAAACTATATTACATGTAAAAAAATTAAACCTCCAAACTAATAGTACAAATATTCGACACTATAAATTAAGGCATACTAGGCAGGTTGAACGACATAAATTAAAGTTTTTTGAGAAGAAATGTAGTTTCATTGGCATAAAATTCTTATTTAATTTACCTAAAGTTATAATAGAGGAAAAACGTTTTGACGTTTTTAAAAAAAGATTGAAAAATTATCTCCTTTCATTGTCTTTGTATTCTTTGGATGAATTTTGGAATTCAAGAGAAATCATAGATGATAGTTTAGAAAGATGATTTGATTTAATTTTGTTTTGTTTATTATTCTGGAGAGTGAATTTGTGTAACCCAAATGATATGCATTCCATAAAATGCTAATAGGTAAATTGGCAAGTGAACGTTATTGTCCTATATATAAATTATTGTGTTGTTTTGTCTTATATATCAAATAAGCTTAAAATTTGTTTTGAAATGATAATGATTGTTTTAGCGATAAGTAAAGCATAATTCATCTTAATATTTATTTGACGCTATTCATTGTATAAAAACTTGTACTGTGAATGAATAAAGAGAATTTGAATTGAATTGAATTGAATTGACAATTAATCAATGTGGCTATTATTTTTTAAATATTCAAACCTTGAAAATTGTGTTAGGCCTAAATACATTGTACTGGGTTAAAGCATATGAAGAATTGAGTAATTGGGTTGCTGATTTCATAAAATCACAGATGTATGAAGATTTTATGGGACTCCAAAGAAATATTTCAGACCCAAACAAATGTCAACTGAAATTTTTTAATATTTTCTACAAACTTCACCTTTATACACTGCTCTGCTAGATCTCGGCTAGTGCGAGACGCCACCTCGGCGACCACCAGCCTATTGCAGATGGCCTTGACTGCGCCGTCCATAGCTACGATGCGCCGAGTGCACTCTGCACTCACGTCCAGGTAGTATGTGATGGCACGAGCTGTCACCTCCAGTACGTTGTCTGGCGCACATTCGTCCAGGAAGATCTGACACAAGGCCGGCAGGAACGAACGTGGTGGACAGCTGAAGAATCATTCACAGTGTCTTTACTATTGCTTGTAAAGTATATCCTAACATTTGTGGTAGAAAATATGCATTATCTCATAATTCATATTTATTTCTGGTTGGTCATGTAAATTCTACGTTAGTCTTTTTATCTTTGACCACAATATTTCTATATTTCACAAAAGGCCTATAGCCTAAAAATAAAAAATACAATTTGTGTCCATCTCAATACTAGTGTATGAACCAGCATGTGTTGTGTGCAATACCTATTTAAAGTTATTAAGTGCCATCAATTTCCACCCAAGACTAACGAGGGAAGATCACCTAAAGGTAATTTAAGGTGGGCCCTCCCACCAGCTTAGCAACACATATTAGTACCGGTAAGGTTAAAATGAATTGCAGTGGCTTACCTAAAGCCGATTTGTAGATCCAAACACGTCTGGCTAAATATTTTCTATGTCTCATCATGAGAAAAATAAAACAAAATCAATGTTGCGGTATATAATGGGGTGGAGTTCATAGCTGAGGTAGGCCTACTAGGCTAATATTTTCTGCATCGCAAACTCATCTTTTGTAGGGGGGAGTAAAACACAAGTAGGCTACAATAGACACTCACTAATATTGCACTTTTGGTGCTTTGGCGATTCGGGTTTACTAAAAATCTTAAGTAAGTCATTGGACAGTCTTCTGACAGCTCACTACTGAGCCCATCACTTCAGCCTTTGACGAACTTACTAATATGTTGCGTAAAAACAGAATTCCAAAATTTTTGTAGTCCTTAAGTTCGATACCGATTATTGAAAGTTCCAGATCACTAGATGCTGGGACTTAACTGTACAAATAGCCAACTTTTAAACGGGTCTAATGCAAATATTAATCACCTTTCAAAGCAGCGGTCGACATTGTCCGACATGAGCAGCAACATACACAGCTGCTCTAGAGCAATCAGCTGCATGTCCCTCTCATCTCCCTGACCCATCTTGAGCCACTCCAGCAGAGTCTCTGGGTCCACCTCCGCCATGGCTGACTCTGTAACACACAATCATACAAATGTAGATATTGTAAGTTAGTCCATCGTAAGTCTTATATAAAACCACAATTAATTTAGGTGATTACAACAATAGTATAATGAATGACTTGGACTACCCTACTTTTGATAAGCGTACCGGTACTACCTATATACACTCTTGTTTATAAAACTAGATCTAATTTAGGTTAATAAAAAGAATACCTAAAAAAATCCAAGCTCATCTATATGACTAGGTAGCCAAGTTGAGTCGTGTGTGTTATGCCCGGGCGCATATCTTTCTGTAATTTAATGAATTTGTGGGTGTTGTTTTCTTTGTGTATTTTGATGACGACATCATGTTCCAATAATCTTCAGTTAGCCGACAAGGCTTGAAAATGAAGCGTCAGATTTAAAACTATTCGCTTGAAAGACTATTCAAGGATGACGACTTAAGGTACGTGAACCTATTTTTATACTGTCTTAAATCAATCCTGGAGGCAATGCTGAATAAATTAAGGAAATAGGCCTATAGTTTTGGCAGTTTATGAAGAGTGTGTTGATAGGCTTAGGGCCTATTTGGTTTACTATTGTTAGCCAACCAAAGAATATGAACGTATAGGAACTCTGCAATAACTTGGTTAGCCTGCCTATATTTTTAATATTAGCCTACTCAATTCACTTAAAAAAACAGGAGATTCACATAGCCTCACTTGAACCCACTGCACGTAGAATAAGACTTACTTCACATTAATATGAGAAGTCTACTTACTTTCACTATCCAAATTCAATGGCAATGGTAATGGAAACAACTAGGCCTTGATACCAAACAATATTAATTCACGACTCATGATTTAGGCCTACTAGATAACCTCTACACAACGACCAGCAACAACAACTGATTCACCAAAACAGACGATACGAACACGAAAACATTTTGGATTTTGGACGGTCTTCAAATAGGAATGTTCCCGAACGAATGCGTCACACGTGATCTCAGAGATTCATACTACGCACACTTTTGCAATCTGGCAACGTTACGTTGAAACTTGTAATACAGGACGAAGACAAACACACGAAACGGAAGAAGTAAGGAGTGAAGGTCAACAAAACAAGAAGAAGAAACTGCGAAACAGCTGTGTTCGACGCATGCGCATTCTGTTACGTGGCACAGCTGTTTCAAGTTTCTACAGCGCTGCCAACCTATGGATGTTGCCAACACACTAATATTTGACACCACGAGACCACGATTGTAAATTTGGAAGAGAGAGTGCCTTCGCCTTGTATTCCGCTATTCGACCGTAACGACTGACAAAATTAATTACTTCCAGCTGTAGTTGAAGCAAAACACGTTTAGCAGGCTAATCCGATAGATACACATACAAACATTACAATAATTCACAAATAGTAATTCACGGACCAATAAAACTAAACGGCTTAATCCTTGAACACAAATCAGTTACAGAACACGCAAACGAAATAATTGAAAAAATCTATATATTAATTTGAAACTGTTTTTCTTTGTGACAGCTAATTTGAGAGAACGGCTGGGCGTAGAAACTTGGTAGGGGTCTCTAAAAAAAGGTCTTGGTCTGTAGATGAGCCATCAAAAGAGAAACGTGGTAAATTCCCTTGGGGCTCTGCCCCAGTGGCCTTTAAATTCCCATCCCATGTTATTCTAATATTCTTATGGAGGAAAAACGGGTTTTTATCACAGCTAATTTCAGAGAACGGCTGGGCGTAGAAACTTGGTAGGGGTCTCTAAATAAAGGTCTTAGTCTGCAGATGAGCCATCAAAAGAGAAACAAGGTAAATTCCCTTGGGGCTCTGCCCCAAAAGGCCTTTAAAGTCCCCTCTTCAGATTTGTTTACATCACGACCATATGCATACATTTACACTATTTTTTAATGAAACAGCTGTTAATATTTAAATTGTGATTTACTAAATCTGTCAAAATAAAGTATTTGCAATGGTTTTTTTCTGATTTTAAAATTGATTTTCTTCTGAATCGTCATGTTTTACAATATAATGTTCTATTACCAAAGTGGTAATCCATATCAGTGATGGATAATTTTCAGTGGAAAATCCTAATATCACAGTAACTCTTACAATTATTTCTTATGGAGTTAACTTGACTATTAATAGTCAAAGCTTATATCTATTGTATGGGTTGGTTTCTGCCTTTTTTACCACTTCTTGGAGATTGCACGTAGACGATATTATTTGGCGTATTGCATCTGTAGTAGACGATACTTGGTTGGTGAAAAAAGTGAGAAATACTGGACAATTTGATATACTAAAAACAAAAAACTGAATTAACACTGTGCTACATTTCTTGAGCAATAATTGAAAGAGCCGATTTGCAAACAATAGAAACAGGAAAGTTATAGAACACAACCAAGTACAGTAGAAGAAATAGAAATAATGTTTATTTTTCCATTTATAATCCTTATTATAGACAATCTAATGCGGCTGAGTGGGGAAAATTTGTAGAAAACACTAAAAAACAAGGTCAGCTTTTGAAAAAAGATAAGATATTTACAAACATTTTTTATTATATCTAACTGCTATGTACATCTTGAGTATTTCCATAATCTTGAGTCGACTCTTATGTATGTCTGAGTGAGTGTCTGTAAGTATTTTTAAAATTTACTGATTTTTTATAAAAGTTTCTGTATCTATGATTTCTGTTTTGTTTTATTGTATTTAAGCTGATTATGTTAAAATATTTATACTATGTTTTAAAGTACAGGTTAGGTGTAAGAAAGGGCCATGAGGCCCTAACTTTGCCTGTGTAAATAAATGATTTTTCATTTCATTTCATTTATAAAGTCATCGGAAATTATGACTGTTATTCGTTTTAAAATAACGCCTGTAATGCTTCGCAATTGCTCGAATTCGGGCAACAGGTACACTAGTTACGATATTAAATTGTAAAATCGGCTGCTCCACAACCATTAGTCACTAGTTAGTTTTGCTTCAATGTATACAATTATTTTTATGATTTATTATGTTAAATACTCTACAGGTTTAGTTCACCCTTAGGTAAAAACTAATGTGTCATATCATCAAGTTTCATAGCATTGACAATCATCACCACAAGTAACAGTTACAGCAACAGCAACAAGAGCAGTACTGTATGCCTAATAACTGTAACTGTACCATACCAGAGTAACTTCAACCACTTGTTTCACTCATTGATGATGATTGATGATTGCTCATGATTTCATCATCGAAGCGCTGGGTAATTTCTAATTTCCAACGCCAATCCTCGACAAGTACGGTATAATTAGTCACATCACGTTATCGTCACTAAACACAACCATTTTCAGCCTGATACCACTATCGCAAGTTAAGTTACATGCACATGCGAAATTACCAAAATGAAATCATCAATATGAATCATGACTCTATGATGAAGGAATATCATCATCAGCATGAATAACGTATTGATGATTTGATGTGCCATTTTACCTTCTTAAGAGTACATTTTAATTGTATTTAATTTCCAATTGATTTCTATAATATTTTCTTGATTTTAATATTGAAAGTTTAATCATGCAGCATTTTAATTATCAGATCAAAGGAATTCGAATTACGGTAATGTTATTGTAATACGGGTTTGCCACTTTGTTTACGAAACATTGCAGTATTCAGGAAGACAGGTAAGGTAGGTTATCTTAATAATATAACTTATTCTTTACTTCAACAACATTCGGTAGCGACCAAACAGAAGTTTGATGTTTTGATGAACAAACTTAATTTGACTGCCTGATGTTTGTTTTAGTATAAGACTTTCTACTAATATTTGTTATAGTGTGACTAATGTGAGCATCTATCTACAATATGTGACGTTCTGTTCACTGATGTTTGGTTTAGTGTGGTTATTTAAATGTGACGTTCTGTCAACAAAGGTTGTTTTTGTGCAATCATGCACACGTGACCTTCTGACCAATAGTGTGTGATCATTTATGACAGTTTTACCAATAATATTGCCTTGTAACTTTCGTGACGTGTTTATTTACATGATATTTACAATAATTTACGTGTGACACGCTCGCTACTAGAGAGTAGAGTATGGTGGAAGGTGGACGACGGATGCATAATCGATCACAGTTCGACCTTCAGAGTTCAATAGAGCGTCGCGCCACTGCCGTGTTGCCGTCCACCGAACACTATCGATGTGACAACGCGTTTTGTGAACAATTCGTTGTACAACGCCGCTGGTAGTAAACGCCTGAACATTTAACTGACAAAAGGTATTACAAATACCCCGTAGCAGCAAGTCTGCAGCCAATGTTTTTCCAAATAGTGTTAAAACCACCGGAAATTCTTATACACGTCAAATAAAAAAATCTCAATAACTAGGTATGAAAACCTAGAAACGTGGTTTAATTGAAGTTCAAAAGCAAATGAAATAAAACCATAGATTATGTAAAACCCTTTTTATTGTATGCTATACTGCGTATATTGACGGGAACTAAACCCGAATGAAATGTAAATCGTACACAGTATACTATCAAAATCACAACACGACTGCTGGCGGACGAGTTGCACGTCATGGTGGTTAGATACACAAGTGATGCTTTGATTAGCACGATGATATCGAACCTGGAAGTTGCCTAGGAGACGCGACACAATATTGTGGTGTCGATATGTTGAAATATTCCAAACCTCCTACCTCTCCTACCAACCGTCAACCATGGTATAGTAACACTACGTCTACTACAGGGTGTTTACAATAATGCTTTACAACCTTAACAACTTGTAGGGTTAGTCATTAACTGTATGTCTTTGGTTATTTGGAAGTATATTGTAGGCTATAAGTATTGTGTAGTTTCGTGTCAAAATGGTCCAACGTGTTTTATCTGGCTTTTAAATGGCGATAGAATGTACAGATTAACTAAATTATATTTTTTACACCACAATTTAATCAAGAGGATGGTAAACACTCAGAAATCTTTAGGGGGTTTCTCAAGAACACAATGAATTCCTGACAGACATCAGCCAACTAACTTTTAAG